TCTCGTATGTTTTGTAGAGTAGGATAGGTTAGTTAGATGGTGGTTGCCAGCCTCTCTAACTCCTTCCTCCTGCGGTATGCAGCAGCAGTAGCAACTGCTTCGCTTCTTCCTGCTAGCTAGCTAGCTCGGGAGGGAAATATACTGGTCGATCTTACTTGACACGATTGATCTCACTTGCATGTGAATTCACGATAGGATAGGACGTATACGCGTAGCTAAGTGTTGACCAGCTTACTATCATAAGAAAAAGGCATGCATTCCACGATGGAAGGAGGTCGGAGCTCACTTGTGGGGGGGTGATTAATTCGATAGGAGATTATATTGGAATTGCAAATGACAGAACATTTCAAACCTTCAGCCTGGGATTTTTGGGCACTAAAACCAGATCACGCCACGCCAGATCACAAGCTTGCGATCTGCCATTTTATTCCCTTCCTTTGGTCTTTGCGCGATTGGGAATGGGAATGTTTCCCTTAGCTTCTCGTATCGATGTGGATATATCTAAATATACACACTCTTTTGAGTTGAGACCTCACGTTTCAACTGTCCCAGCCGGCGTTCTGCAGCCAGCAGATAAGATGATGTGCAGCATCATTCGCTAGATAAAGTAGAGTACATACTTGGGGCACTCTGCTCTAATGTGCTCTAGCCAGAGTAGCTGTCGAATTCCAGCCACCCGCCAACCTACATGACAACTAGGTACATATCTCTCTTACCTCACCTTCTCTTACTCTTACTCGGTTGGCAAGACGCTTAAAGCTTACTGAGGAATTCATCATCATCATCATCATCCTGAGTCTTTTGGCGCGGCGTAGCCCACGTAGGTACTTGGTCTTTGTCTTTTTTATTTTATTTCTTGTGTTGGTGATCATGATCAGGAATGTGTATGTATGTATGTATGCATCAGCTTTCTGCAGTTGGCGGGCGGTTTTACAAACATCGGAAACCCGGATTTCAATGGAATGGAAGCTAGGTAGAGTAGGTAGAGTAGAGTAGAGTCTTGGGTAGTTAGATTCTTGTACGATCGTAACTCTAGTTAGAGTTTCCGATGGACTAATAATTACACCCCATTCAGCCGTGATCCCAGCATGCCAATGATCAAGTAACAAGAACAAGAAGCCCTATCCTATTCGCAAGCACCCACCCATGGCCACTCTACACCGCCGCCGGCGCCTGCGGGAGCTTCTTCATAAAATTCCTCCTCACTGGCTCCATGGCTTGATGCCACACCTTCGCCATCCCAATCGGGAACTCCCCATCCTCACTCCCCTGCACCAGTCCGGCCCAAGTCTCATCCACAAAGTCCGCCAACGGCATTCCTATCTCTCTTCCGTTCTCGATATCTACCATCACCACTGTTAGCAAACCCGCCCCAACCCGACCCTGGCTCCGGTCGACAAGAAACACAATAGAAAGAACTATGCAAACATACCAGGCTGAACCTCCTTATCATGCAACTCCGTCTGCACCGCCGGCGGCAGCACCTCCAACACCTGCACCCCCGTCCCCTCCAAGTGGACTCTCATCGCAATCGCGAAATGGTGCAGCGCAGCCTTTGTCGCGCAGTAGTTCGGGCAGCGCGACAGCGGCACGAGCGCCAGGCCCGAGGTGACATATATCAGCGCCGTCTTCTGTTGCTCTGAAGACTTTGCGAGGAGGAATGGGAGGAAGGCGTGCGTGAGGTGGATGTGTGCGGTGTAGTTTGTTGTGAGTTCTGTCTGGAGCATCGCGAGGTCGACTCCGGCGGGCTTGGAGAAGTTGAAGCCGCGCTGGATGCCGGAGTTGAGGAAGAGGGCGTCGAGGGTTGGGTGCGAGGCGGTGATCCTGCCCGGGGGTGTTAGTGGTGAGTTGGGGCAAACAAGCAAACAAAACGCGGGGATGGGGTGGGGAGGCGGGGGGTGTACTTTGCAGCCCAGCTTGCAATCTCATCCAGCTTCGTGATGTCGAACGTATACCAGAACAGCTTCCCCTCTGCGCACTTGTCCTGACACTTCTGCGCAACCTCCTCCAACCGGGCCTGCCTCCGCCCTACCAGGATCACCGTCCTGCCTTCGGCGAGGAACCTCTCTGCCATGGCGTAGCCGATGCCGCTGGTGGCGCCGAGCAGCAGGATGGTCTGGTATGGGAAGTGCGTATTGGACATTTTTCTTTTTCTTTTCTGAATAACTTGGTAGTGTGGGGAATCAATGAAAAGACATGTAGGTATGAGACAAGCTTTTTATATATCCACCGCGATGGATGCGGGGAAGGGGCGACAATGACGTCGGGGATGTCGGATAGGGACTAAGCTTCTGAAGTTCTTGGGGTTAGACTTTCAGTATCGCTATCCCCGACTCTGCATAGTTTCCCTCTTTCTCGACCGAGAATGTCGGTCTGGTCTGATGTCCGTGTCCGACGAGAACTCGACATTTTCAGGGAAGCTGGATATCTCGGCCATGAGCCATCTGGATTACCAATTCTCCACACAGCCAAATCCAAGAGCTGCGAACTTTCGAGAATAGGTATACAGAACCCCCATCCTGTCAAGGAAGCAGGACTCGCCGGAATTAGAACATCATGAAACTAGCTCCGTCCGAGGATAAAACTGTTAGGTGGCATTGCATGAACCCTAACCCTTGGTATACCGCGGGTATGATGAGTGATAGTCTGTGATCTGCGAGTGTACCTACTTCTGTCAGTGTACATGTTGTCTCTCGTCTCGTCTCGTATTGTCTTTTCTCGTGTGTAAGGGGAGGTTGCGACAGTAGGTGCTGTACCTGCATATCGGGCTCCGTGTGTGAGTGTGCGTGTGCCTTGCTTGTTGCCAACTGTTGATTGTGATGTGTGGTTGGTTCGGTGGAAAGCTTGTTTCTGTCGCACAATGGATGTACGTATTTAGGTACGTGTCTACTCATAAAATTACTCTCAGGCGCATTTCCCGCCCTGAACTGAACTGTGGGAGATGGACGTCGGAAATGATTGTGTTTTTCTTTTGTTTTGCCCCTGGCCGATCGCGATGGCCCCGGAGTATTGTAGAGTAGAGTAATAGTTGTTACTTCGACCGGGGCGAACCAATTGCAATTGATCATGCCGACATCCACTTCACTCCAATGGCCTCTATAGTATATTTCTTCTCCACATCGATGTTCCTCTCGGATCGAACAATTGAATCTTCAGCTCCTCCTTTCTCCCCCACTTTGAGTAGAGCATTATGTCGCTTCCCGCTGTGTACTCTACATGTAGGTACCTACATAGTTCGAGTCCAACAGTTCTAGTTTCGTCCGATAGCCGCAATCAAGCGCTATAAATAGCTCATGCACATATGCTCTACTTACGTGGTGGAATGTCCGCCAGCTAGTGTTAACCGAGCGAGAGAATTAAAGTATCAGTGGCAATGGCAGTGACAGTGACAGCTGCAAATTATTTCCCAGGGATTGGATACCTAGATATTCGAATTTCGAATCGCTTGTTACGGTGTTTTTTCGCTTCGTATCCCCTGGAGAGAGATCCTGGTTCAACTAATTGTAGTTGTAGGTGCAACTTCAAATTATGCTGTTGTGCACTTTTTCTTTTCGGGCGTAACTGAACACCCGTACGAGTCTTGAGCCGGTTTGAACTTTGAAGACCATCGTGACCATGGCATGATAGGCAATTGCCGTATTCGGCGGCCTCAATTGCACCATGTAAGCCTCATGATCAGGAAGGAGCCCTACTCTAGAACTAGCACAAATCAGAGGAGAGGCTATTCTTGCCTTTTCTTTCCCCCGAGTAAAATCACCATCATATCAGTCTGTCGCGGCTTTCATCCGGCCGTACTGATGATGTTGGTGAGAAATCCAGCACTAACTGTGCAGATATCAGCACCGATTGCGAGGCAGTAACTGTAGAATAATACACCTGCCTACACATTTAGGAGAAAAACTTCTTGTCCTTTCTGTTTGTCATGTCTGCTGCAGCCGTAATAGCTATTTGGCGGCATGCAAACAGAGAAGTGTAAAGTGCAAAGTGCAAGAAGAATTTTGGATCGAATACCGTTAATTCTCGAATAATCCACTATCCCCGTATTTGTGTGTGGTAAGTCCGAACCAAGGCGAATTGGCGTATCAAAATTCGCGGATTCGTGTAGATACACACTTTTTTTCACCCGGAATCAAGATTCAACGAAGCGGAGATAGCGGATTTCTTGAGAATTAACGGTAGCACCTGAACCACACTTTCCCATAGCCAGAGCTCGAGATCTAGAGTCTGTGGCAGAATACGTATGTAAGATGGTGCCTGTAGAAAAAAAAACAATACCAATATGACTACTTAAACATAATCAATTGTTGCGCGCGTAAAGAAGCCATTTTACATACAAGAATCATCAAAAGGGCACGTGAAACTTGAGTCTGGTGAATTCTCATTTCAGCGAATCATTGTCTCTCCACCTGGAGATGAACTCCGGACTAGATCCCGTGGATTCAATTGGCAGAGATTGTAGATTTGATTGCTGCATGGTCGTGGTCTCTTAAATCAAGTTAAATGGTAAGCGCCATTGTAACAGCTGAATGTTCTTTAGAGAAGGTTATTATTTCAGATATTGATGCGTGATAGCTTGGTGACATCTATGTAACTTAAAGGCTCGGTGTGGGTTACGATATTTTTCTTTCTCGTTTGTTGCGACCGTGTTCGAACGTTCTTTGGGAAATTTTAGGTTCCGGTTTCCGTCATCGGATGTCACTCGGTACGATCGGAGCTGGCGGGGTAATCATCACCCAGCTTGCGCTAAGGTAAACGTACACCAGCGACCACAACAACACCCCCAAGCCAATCAACCAAAAACTCCAAACATCATGCATTGTGGCGCACTGCCTTGCCTTGTGTTCTTCGCACTTTTTATCTCATAACAAAAAAAAAAGGAAAAAGCGGGGTAATATATACAGCCAACCACATGCGCATGCGTAACTACAAAAAAAAAAAAAATAGAGAATCTACCATAAACGCCTATTTCATAATATAATATAATCGACTTGATGTCTTTTTCACTTATTAAACGAGAATCTATCCTTAAAGTTACCTAGTCGCTGAAAGACATTGCCCTTTGAATATCCGGGATCCCGTACTATTACTGCGTCTTGGAACTTTTGCCGCTTTGTTCGGCCGTTCCAGAAGCCGAGGAGTATGGTGGGGATTATTAGGCCGTGTGCAATTGTGCACATACAGGCAGCTACCCAAGCTCCTCTCTGTGTGCAGGGTTAGTAGAGCAATTTCGGAGGCAAATAGATGAATGGCAGGGTGGCTTTACCTGTTCACTACAATGGTCGGCAAAGTCCATGATTTTCATGTCTTCCTTCGACTCTTCAAATCCAGTGTTACAAACCCAGAACCTGTGGGGGGAAGTCAGCGGTGAACTACAACCATCAGGAGGATTTAATGGGGGCAATTGGCACATACATCGACTTTGGATTCTTCTTCTCCTCCGACAGAGTCAGGGCCACCATCCCACAGATGAAACTAATCATCGAATGCAGCAACGCCGCAGAAGCAAGGAACCTATTCGTCAAATACCTCCCCTACAGCATCACTCCCCGTCAGCCCTGCGTCCGCACCAAATCCACACAACCAGGAGGGGGGTCTACAAACATTTGGCCAAAAGCTCACTACCGAGAATATCGAATCAAGCAAAAATATGTACGAAGTAATGCTCAGCAGCAATATCGTCGGCGTCAACGACAGCTCCGGATTCCACAACGGATCCCCTTCACTGTTCTCTTTATCCTTTGTATCGATATAGTGGAACAATATGTGCCCCGCCGACCCTAGCACCGCGCCCGCCGTCACCAGCGAAAACATACGAAGCACCACCCGCGGCCGCGAGAGCAGCTTTGCGCGGTCGGTCTTGAAGGTCTTGAGGATCGACTTGCGCGGCGGCTGGGTAGCCTTGGAGAGGAGCTTGATTGTCTTTACGCCGGTGAGGGGCTGCACTTCGATTGGTGGGGGGGAGGGCGAGCGGCTGTTCACGCCTGTGTAACCCTTTTCGGTCTTTTTACGGGTGCTCTCGCTATCGTTGTTGTCGTTATCGTCTTCATCGAAGTAACCACCTTCTTCTAGTTAGGGGGTTAGCTATTTACAGCAATTATAGGATACGGGGGGGGGGGGGGGGGGGGTAAATACCGTCGAGAAGACCGGACCCCTCAACATCTCGTAGGTCTTCTTCATCAGTGCTCATCGTCTGGCTCCTCGGCCGTCGACCCGTGGAGAGGGTTGAGATGTCTCGGAAGCCACCTGAAGCCATCTCGTTCTCGATGCCAATCCGTGATTAATATTATTATATGGGGTGTGGGGAAGTTGGGTAGTCCGGTGGATAGACGATAATATATCTCTGCTATCTAAATTCACACACACTCAAAAGCAGAGCTCGTGAGAATAAGCTAGCTAGCTACCAGAAACCAAGGGGAGGAGGGGAGTTTGATTCAAAAACCCTAAAGCAAGGCAAAAAAAAAGAAGAATGCGGGCAGGACGCACACAACCTGCTGTTTATATAAATCCCATTGTCTGTCCAGATCGTGGGTTATCTTGTCTGCAGCAGCTGGCTGGGGCTGATTGTGAACTGAGACATCAAGCCAATGCATGTAAGCTTTGCGAGAAACAGAAACCCTTCAAAGCTCGACCACGTTGAAAGGCTGAAGGACACGCTTCTACCCAATCGTGATGGGCTCAAGCCACAGGAAGCCCCTCCTCCGAATCGGGGCCTCTTAAAATAGCGTTAGTGCTGACCCACTGCCCGCGCCGCCCCGCACCCCCCTGCGGTTTTAGGGCTGTGAGCCGATTTCTAAAACGCTTATTTCATCAAGCATGCAGCTTGTTCTCTCAGCTTCAAAACTGAGGGGATGATTGACTTAGTTTTCCCTACTCAAGAGGGAGATCGGGAAGCTTGAAGCTGGAACACTTGGCTGGACGACTGGCTGCCAGGTAATTGATGAACGACCATGCCCAGCTATGGCCAAATATATCAACATGAACTACATATTCATAGCTATGGCACATGAGCTCTTGCCGCAACGAGTATATACAGGACGGCTGTTTGTCGGAATGAGAATGTGGCTTTTAACCCTAAACGGGAGGATCCCCAGGGTTGGAATGCTTGCTGCTTGATAAAGAAAATATCAGCCCTATGGAGTTTATTTTTGCCCATGTAGCCTCATTTGTGGCGCAGCGAGCTAACTACATGGTCATGGATTAGAAGTGGAAATGACTGAAAAGTCAATAGTTTGGGTATGTGGTAAGCGTTAGCGAGCTAAATTTCACAAGCGCTACTACTACAGCCTAAAGTGTATTTCGTTGCTTACTACAGTTTCTAATACTGAGAAATCTTTTTAAGCTTTAAAGTACTTGTTTTTTTTTATAGCCAGCAAGAATTGAAGTTGAATTAATGAATTAGCTACTCTTGTATCAAATTACACCATGAAAAAAAAGAATCGTGCGAAAATTGTCGGGCCAGTTATTTCCCCAATGGAGCGAAATTTAGAAGAGAAAGAAAAAAGATTTTGAAAAAGATACCCCATGTCTTCAAATTCTCCTTCAACTACCACTGTGAAGACTATCGTCGTTTTCGGTCCCAGATTACTAAATGAAAACTTTAGTAATCCCTCAAACCATCATCGTCGACTTCGACTTGGTACTTGTAGAAGGCATTCGAGAGGAGCAGATCCTCGGAGGGAGTGAGCTTGAGCTTGGTATCCTTGGTATTCATGTTTCCAATACCAGAAAACTGCTGGATGACGACAGTGGGGTTGGAGTTCATGTTCCTGGTGCCAAGGTACTGCTGGTTGACTGCAGTGGGACTATTGTTCCTGGCCCCAACGCCAGTATATTGTTGGTTGACTGTAGGAGAGCTGTAGCCACTACGTTGGCCCTGGGCGGTATAGGACATCGGGGTCCCGGGGCTGCGTGTCGGGTAGACGTTGGAACGCTTTGGGGTACCGAGAGCCTCGCCGGAATTATTCTTACCAACAATCTGCTGAGTCCCGTGGTTGATTGCAGTATTCTCGTGATGCTGCAGGGTCATCTGGTTCTCCCGCGGAATCCCGATGCATGAATCATCGTCGGGAGTGGCACGCTCCTGGAGCCACTGCTGTGCGTAATTGTAGGAAGGTGGGTTCTGCGGATTGACCTTGGTGATGTCAAGTCTCTGGCCATTGGGAAGACTGAGGATCTTTCGGGAATCACTCGCCTTTTTGCGCAATCCTGGACCAGAGCGGTGATAGGAGCGGTTATCAGCAGAGGTGTAGGGTGCATCGTAGGTATCTGAGCCTAAAAGATCTGAGACGGCTTTCTCGTGCTGGACATATTCCTCGCGGAGACGTGCGAATTCACCAGTAGAGTAGGACTCCAGCTGTTGTCTTTGTTCCTGACGAGAAGGCGGCAGCATAGACAACTTGATCTCATCTTTTTCTGCAAGCTCTCTGTAGATAGAAGTCTCCTTAGAAGGCTTATTTTGGGGAAGGAAATGGTTCGACTGTTTGACCATGGTTATTTGTTCGTGCTTCGCGACTCTTTGAGCATACGCATGCATCGGCATCGGCATATCCCCGAAGCCGGGAGGAGGAGCGACGACTCGGAAAAGTTCCGGTTCGCTGTCGGAGCTGTTGTACGTCTCGCCGGAATGACAGTTTTCGGGAGTTGCTCTTGAGCCGGCACTGACTTGGTCCCATGGCTGGGAAGGAGTATTAGAATACCTTTGGCGTTTGCGCTCCTCGTCACCTCGGACCCTACTTTCCAAGGCCTCTAGTCTATCGAGTTCCATTTGCCAGAACCCGCCTTCAAGCTTGAGTCTTTCGTCGAAGAAGCGTTTGATTTCAGGTGAGTTATGATCGGTTTCGTGCATATACTCTTCATAGTTTTTGCCTTCTTTAACGACCGCCTTGGGTGATTCCGGGTCCTGAGTATGTTGTTTGAAGCCGAACTTTACCACGAGCTCGGTTTTCCAGGCCGGGTTGTCAACCGGGGTGGCCAAAGGGTTGCGGTCAAGGCATTCGGCCAAGGTCAGCCCATCAGTAACTTCGGTTTCAATCTTAGTGGGTTTCCTCTGTTTCTTAGCCTTGGTCTTCCTTCTCCCCCTCCTTTGCGGGCGGCGACCAAACCCAAACTTTTCGACCAATTGGGCTTGATCATGGCCCATGCCATCCAGTAACGGTGCTTCTTCACCGCAGTCCGAGTCCTCGTCATTGTCACTAGCATCGGAATCAACATCGTCACACATAAATGGTGCAAGTTCTTCGGAGGTCACGATTGGTAGCGGTTCTTGAGCGTTTTTAACATGTGTCTCAAAGATGTGGGTACGGTTGAGACTAATCATGTCGAATTTTATTTTTTTGCATTCACTGGAGAGGTGCCTGTCGCTCCTGGGATTCGGAGCGCGCTGTTCCTCGTCCTTAGAGATGGACGAGAGCGGGCCAATTGACTCTGGACGTGGAAAATGTACCAAGCCAACGTGAGCATAATTCTCAAAAATCTCCGTCGCCTCGAGATACGTCTTCTGTGTGACATATAACTGAATTGCCGGCGATATCGTGTAGTAGTCTATTAAGACCAACTTACCATCAAGGACGCCCTGCTTCTTGATCTCAAGACGGATATCGACTGAGCTCCATGGCCTACAGGCAACATGGTAGTCCTCACGGTCGTTGTCCTCCAACCCAAGGATGTACTTTTGCTGCGAGTACTCTCTGGGGTCCCTACCACGACGCTTACGGGCCGTAAAGAGACGGCGGACTTTACGGGCATATATCTCGTACTGATAGAGATATCGAACATAAAAGAGGCGGGGTAGGTGGAATTCTTCGGGCCAAAGGTTCATGTTGATGGCCACGAGAACCCACCTTTGGGATTGATCGACGGATTCAAAACCGCCCATGGAAAGAACGGCAACGTAGAGGCTCTGAAGATCGAAACTGAGATTGGCATCCATGGGATCGAAGGCTGGGTGGATGGCACTGGGGATCCACGGAGATTTGATGGCGGGATTTGGGTACCAGTTGCCAAGCGTGAACGCAGTAAGAGAGGCAAAGAATTGTGCCTGGGTGATCCTCTCGGGGAGGAGGAAAAGAGTGACGGTATTTAGATCCGCAGCCATGGCGATACTTAAATTAAAACGTGTAGGAAATTATTGGTTGGGAAAGTTTGGAATCCAAACGAATTGTGAGTGATGAGTGATGAGTGATGACCGAAACAAATTTGGATAATTCCAGTCAATGGCACAGAGACGAAAAAAAAAGAAAAAAAAGAGAAAAAAAAGAAAATAGGCTAGGCAGAAATATCCAGAGAAAAGTTAGACATAGATTTTTTGTCAAGCAGAAAATGGAGAGAAAACCTACACCGCGAATGTAGGGCTAGATAACTAGATTGGTATTGTGACAAGATCCAACACCGGGTTGAATCCAGTGCAATTGGAATTCAGAGATTGTGTTTGACTTAATTTGAATGAAAGATTTGAGTGGCAAAAAGAGAGGATAAATTGAAGGAAGTACTGATGAAAGAATCCAAAGGATGGATGATGGGGATGAGTGAGGATGGTAAGGGAAGAGGAGGTGGAAGGGAGAAGAATGGAGGTAATGAAGAGAAGTGACAACAGAAGAGACGACGAACGAGTACGTTGGGTTTGGGTCTGCCCCAACAGGCAAGTGTTGGTGTAGGCTAGTGTGATAGAGAGTAGCAGTACCTGGCGGGGTGGAAGGGAAGGCAAGCCTACATGTAGGCAGCATCGACGAATACCCACTCACTGAGTTGACTGCTACGAGGTCACATCAGGAACTACACAGTATGTACATGGATTTTAGCAGCATTGCATCGTGAGCAAGTTTTATTTATGCTTGAGAATTAAAGAAGGCGAATGACGCTACATGAGAATTAGCTATACTATGAAGCATTGATGGGCGATCCAAGTGGGCAGCTGGAGAAGGTGAATCACATTAATAGCAATATCATCATGTGTATGGTTTTCTGACACTTCTTGTATCTCAATAATCTCGAGTTGATACTACCTGTAGATTCGTCTTCAACGAAGTACCCACATGTACATACTGCTCCCGCCTTCGTACAGCCCACGAGGACGAACGTAAATAACAGAATCTAAATGCGGTGGGTAGCTATGCGTTGACTGTTGGTTAGATCTTTGATTTTAGCTTAGCTCCCGCCCATGTTCACCGCTCTGTCGAATTTAGCCTTTCGTCTTCGCCATTAGATCTCTTCAATTGAGGCGGAGGAAAGGTTTTATAAATTTATCTAGTGGACTACTTAGATCCAGGATTAGGGTAAGTCGGGTCAAGCGTCCCCTGTGTTTCCTGTTCAGGGCAGCAGGAGGAAGGAAATACGGGGAAAGTGTGCAAATTACATATATTCATGAATGAATATACATCACCGCCATAAGTTTCTAACATCACCACTCGATCAACCCCAAGTCCTTCGCCTCAACACCACACTGCAAATCACCACGAGGCAGTAGCAATCAGCAAAAGCAGTAGCTCTTTAGCTTGAGCGACGCAAGGACCTCTCTGTGCCCCCAGTTTAAACGACCCGTCAAAATCCCCCATAATTACATCAAATCACCATAAAACTCACCAAATAATAGTATGTCGTCAAATAGTAGCTCTACCGTGTCTAACCCTAAACGTACTTCCTAATAATCCTACAGTCCCTCCCCATGCTAATAAACGAAGACAGAAGCGGAAAGGTGGCGTCTAATATTCCCTCACGCTACAGGCGGGATCTACACACTCTCAGTCATGTCTTTCCACGTCATGGGCAGGCGGGTCGTCGTTCATGATCGAGAAAGCTCAACTAAATAAGCCTCTCGGTTCTATAGATAGAGATTTTGGTTTGGGTGTGGCCCCGGTTTCCGATGTTGAGTGCAAATCTAACTTCAGAGCGGGCCTAAAGCAGAGTTGGAAGGAGAAATAACGGCTACACACACGAAAGGACGGATTGATGGAGCTGTGGTTGAATCTGATTGATTTTGATCAACTACTTACAACAAAAGAAAAGACGGGTTGTATGAAGAATGATTGACATTCCAGTGACTATCGTTAAAAATAAAAATATGTACCCAGAAGGCAATGATAATAATACAAAGAAAAGTAAGGTAGTACCAAGACTAGAGTAAAGACAGAGCTAAAGCTAATACAAGAGAAACAGGAAAGTAAGCCCCACCAGAATCAACAAAAATATTTATATCAAAAACCCGGCCCATCCAAAAACATAAGAAAAATAGACAAAAAGAATTTGCTGCCTCCCAAAAGAAACCACAAACACCCGCACCATACCCTATATCGATACCACAAGATCAAGAACAAGCCTCCCAAAAACAAAAACAAAAGGTTTTCCAAAACATAAACGCCAGGCCAGCTAGACCTCGAAACTCTAAATCGCCATCCACCTCTTGTCCGAACTATTAATCGTCGAGATCGTCGACCTCTTCGATGCCCTCCCTAGACTACTCGCCGTTGACAGCGATCGCCCACTCTCATCCTTCCATCCCGTAAACAGGCCCATCGGTACATCTACCTCGCTGCTCCCACAATGCGGCAACTCTGGTGCTACCGCCGGCGCCACAACCGTGTGGTACAGCCGCCCAACCACGCCGCGCGGGTCCGGCCGGTTCTCTGGATCTCGCTGCAGCATCTCTCGACACAGGCCGAGTCCGTCAGAGAATGGAATGTCCATCTTCTTCCTCGCGTCTTTCATGAGACTATCTGTGATCCACGTCTCGACCTGGCCGAGATTTGAGTGGAACGATGAATCCGGGGGCGCGGATTCGCGGGAGCGACGGTTCTTATGGGATCGGTGCGAGGCAAATGCGGTAGTCTTGCGCTTTGCGTGGAAGGTGAGGATCTCCAGGAAGATGCATGCGAGTGAGAAGACGTCGGATTTGGAAGGGTTGGAAGCGAAGGCTGTCCATTGCCCGATTTGGGTGCTGTTGGTGATCGAGATGCTGTCCTCCGAATGGGTTGATGATTTGCGGTACGTGCGGCCGGAGAATATAGTGTTTGTAGGGGGGCTGGATGATTCTTGGGATACGAGTGTTCGCTGCCAGAGCTCTGGGGCGCCGTATTCGTAGGCTTCCATGTCCTGGATTCCACCACAGTTGGGTGATTGCGGAATGTTTTGGGTAGGATCTAGGCGTTTCGAGTTGCCAATGTCCGAGAGGAAGATTCGGTTTGTTTTCTGCTCGATTATAATTGAGGATGGCTTTATATCGCCATGTGCAATTCCTCTGTCATACAGGTATGCCAGAGCATCGCTGAGACAGAGCATCCAATTGAAGATGATCCGTCGCCGTTCTTCTTTGGTATTCGACTTCCATGTCGTGGGTGGATACTGAACAAAGGACTTGATATTGAGTTCGAGTGCCGGCGACAAAACAAGAAATCCCACATTCTCATGTGTGTAAGAAAGATGCAGCTTCACTATATGGTCATGTGTGATTGAGTTAAGGGTTTCAATCTCTTCAAGGAAGGATTCGACTGGCAATTGATGGCTTCCGTATCCTAATGGCACCCTTCTTCGAGAATAATACACTTCCCGTGATCTTGGGAAGTAAACCTTCTCCACCGTCTGCTTCGCCGACCCGGGTTGCGTCCGTCTCGACATAACCTCCAACGGTACCAACTCCTCATCCTCAAAGTCCGTGTGCTGTCCCTCCACTAACTCCCTAACCAGATACGCATACTGCTTCTTTGCAAACTTCTTATCCTGTGACACTGCCGGAAGCTCCAACCTCTCAATCGTTGCCATCGACAGCGGCAGATCCTCGTCGTCCCACGATTCATCAATGATGTTGAAAATATACTCTGGGCATCCCAGATCACACAATATCAGGAAAAACTTGCGTGTGTGCTCCACGATCCACTCAGAATAGGTTGCCTCTGTGAGGCCTTCTCCAAACTTCAAAGGTTCCTCCAGCTTACGCCTCAGCGCACTGTCGGTGATGCGTTCTCGTATGTATCTGGGGCAGACGGTCTCCTCAATCTTCTGCTCATCCCACCAGGTCGAGGTGAGGACTACTGGTGGTGGTAGGCTAGCGCCGTGGCCTCCGTATCCGTACATGCTGTGGAAAAAGTCTGCTCTTGCTGGGTCGGCCATCGTGAGGGCAGCCATGGGAGGGAGCGGTGCAGGGCGGACCTTATACTAAAGATGATGCTCTACTCTCTCTAGAGTAGTTTGCAATGATCACTGGGGACGCTATGGGGATCGGTTTAGTTGCCACCAGGCTGGGAAAAGTGTGGGATTTTTTTGCATTTGGGAAAGTGACCACATGTGGGGCCCGTGAAACATTTTAGGTCCCCGAAAAGAATAGCCTCCCCCAGTGGCCCGAGGTTGTCCCAATAGAGGCTCAAAGTACGTACATGCAGTAAGAACGTTGTGCCCCCCCCCGGGGGGGGGGGGTGAAGGGGGGGTGGTGGCAGGCGGGCAGGCAGGCAGTTTGAAAAGAGATCAGATCAAATTGTAAGAGTAACAAATCTAGCCTAGAGACTAGGGCTTGCTTCCAAGGCTTGCTCTGATGACATGAGTAACCTTTGCCGTCGGCAACCTTGTCGCGTGTCTTGATGCCATAGCTTGCTTGGCTTCTCTGATAGGATGTAAGGAAGAATAGTAACTGAATGTCGTACTTCTAAAACAGCATGGGGCTGTTTCTCGCGCGCTCCAAGATAGATTGATATCTGGGATACCTACATGTAATTGATAGGATATCTGTAACCTACAGATATATGTCATACATACACCATCATCTCTGATATCGAAATTGGAAGGCATGAAAAAGGGTGTAGCTATGTCAGTTACCCACAACCTATCAAATCACGTCTATCAAAATTAGAGCATCATGCCACGCGAGCTACGCATATTCCCAAGCCCAGGAACAACCAACCGAGAAGGAGGGGTGTTCATGGTTAATGGGATGGGCTACATACTAATTCTCTAGTGCGCTATGCTTTCCCCTTCCATTCTTCGATTCTCTTCCCCATTCTCTCGCTCGATTCCTAGCGTTCCCTCGCCGCCGCCGCATATCTATCTATCAAACGGACTCGGCCCCGAGCTGGTAAACGAGATGCGAGGATGACCGTCGAGTCAGTGTGGTACAAACAAAGAGAAGTGGATGGTATCTAGGGTCAGCGATAGTATGGCTGTGGCTTGCTGCCTAGAGTGGTGGTTACCGTTGGCCACAACGAGCCGCCTTCCCTCTTCATGTGATAGTCATTCTACGGTATGGGGGGTTCGATGCGACCCCCCACGAAGTACCCAATCAATCTCCACAACCCCAACCGATCGCCAACTTTTTTCCGTTCCTTCCTTCGTTCGTTCGGCCCAGTTTGAGGGATAATTTTGTACCCAGCTGGCTACTGCCTTACTTGACCCTAGCAGTAGTAGGTATAAACAGGCATACCAAACCCTACCCAGCAAGCTAAGCACCAAATCTAATCTTTCCCCTGTTGATGATGTTCCAGTGTTCTCCAGTAGAAAACATCGGTACCGGTACCCAGCTATATAAACTAGCTCTACAAAGCGCTTAGACAGGTATATACCTGGATGAGCAATTCTGGGTACTGTTCTGGTAGCCATATGGGATAAGCTGTACCAGCCTAAATGGAAAATCCATCCATAACTTAACGCATATCTAGTTACTCTAGTTCACCTTTCAATACGAAGAACCCCTCCACGCACTTTACCAGTGCTTGCTCAATAAATCATTAACGGAAAATCCCTGAGCTATATAACCAGCACCCTCTCGGAAATTTGCTCTCTAGTTTATGTTTTGGCTTCTATCCAGCGGCGCAACCGTGTCCCGACCATACATAGTTGAGAATCGCACTATCCGTGGATAGATTTTTTTTCATGAGGCGTTCGTTGTTTTTCCGTTGAATTTGCACTCGCGGCAATGGCGTTTGCTTTTGCTTCCTCTTACGGAGTCCTGTGACACCACAGGAACTCTGGAGAAGAACACTGACATGATGAGCAGCCTACATATCGATGCATCTCATCGATGGCGAACCTTTTTACAAAGAAAAGCTGTGGGGGGCCCGCCGTCACCAAATCACAGACCCTTCCCATTCGCAGGGAGGGACCCTGCGCTAAACCGCAAACCACGCCTTCGGGTCCTGTTATCTTTTTCGACCCTCTTTCGGGCCGGGGGGTTGAGCAGAGTGATCAACTTGCCAAATAAAAATCACTAATAATTATCCGGAAGGCCTAGCTTGTTAGTGTTCTATATCGAGAGCGCTGCCCGACGGATCGGGTTTGTGCGAGTCTCCCCTGTACTGTATGCAGTACTCTACTCTGCAGGTAGATGTAGGTACTCTAGGTATTCTCAGTCGGCCCAGAACGGGGACGTCGACAACAACGAACGGGGGTGCGGATGCTAAGGAGTTCGCTACTGCTGGAGAACCTACAGTAAGCACATGTCTAACTGGATATGTTTGCAATTAATAAAGACTCGTAGTAGTTGCTTTGTACATCCATACCAAGAGTACAATCCAAGTACCTAAGAAGTACCTCAAGTGGAGACTCAAGTGAACAGAGTTCTCGTACATACATCTCATACATGGCTTGCTCTCCGGCCCTCAGCATTGGCACAACCACGTATCATACCTGGTTAGAATCCTGATCTACAGTAATTAATCGGTCGATCCAAGATTAGTTTCATTGCTGACCTACTTACTTAATCCACATATATTCTAGTTCTGAAGGAACGCGTAAACCAGTCTAAAGCCGCAAGGGCCTCAAATAATTCATTAGTCAGGCAAGACTCGGTTCATGATACCTCACTCAAGTCCTGGCTACTTCTCAGGTACAGCTCTCCTTAGGAAAATATTCTTTCTTAGAGATCAACCGGCTGGACAAGGACAGGGACAATTTTGTTTTTCTTCCGGCAACCCGGATTTCGACTGGAAAGAAGCAACTTCTCACATGTTACATATGTAAGGACGCTTGATTCGGCTGAATCGAAAGTAGAGTACCCTCTAGCCGTGTACAGTGTACACGTTCATATAAAGTCGTATGCATAGCAATATGTGCACCCCGCGCCCAGAAATAAAAGAAAGGAAAGGAAGGTGAAAAAAAAGAGCAGGTGAAAAAAAAATCTAGGTGAAACCCGAATTTATATCTCCAAATCCCGCAAGAAGCGATAAATAGCAAGCAAAACGGCTGGCGGCGGAAGGGAGAAACATATTTCGGCAAAGTCCTAGGTCAAAGCTAATAAAGTAAATCGGTATCCTAGGACTCGGTACCCGTTGCTTGCGATTTGTCCTATGTACCCTCGGTGATAATTTTTTTTCTTTCTTTCAGACAATCGTGTCCCCCGTAGTCGTGGGTCTTTGATAATCGGCTGTATCACACTGCTCCGCCCGATACTTTAATTTGTTGGGGACGAATGGTGATATTGTTCCCCACGTGAAAACCCGAGTATTGGGTTTAGATATTCCTTTATGGCAATCGCTATAACACACAAAACCCAATTAGTCCTTTTTTCCCATGATACAGGAGCAAAAGCACACAAACAATACACGTAGCATATTGTGCTGCATACAGACACCTCCTACTCACAGCTACCTAGGTGTTTTCATTATGCGAATGGCCTACCGGCCGTGTCCGCTCGCATGCTCCCTTCGATGCGGGGTATGCATTGCAGCTTTGATACTTTTAACAGATCAATTGAGGCTTTGCGTAGCCGGAAATGAACCCCAAACCTGGAGCGAGTGTGGAAAGTCTTCAGTGGAGGAGGAGCTGGAGGAGGAGTGGGAAATGATCGAAGCTGCGCCTGCTCTAACACACAGCAGCAAGAAGCATTGACGTTTCGTGGGGGTGACAGACATGTGGGGGCACCAACTTAACGTGAGACGGCGCTCCCACTAGGCGCTCGCGCTTCTTTATCGATAAAATTTAAGCTCATCGTGCGCTAGATACCCGTCGCCCGGCCGATGCTTTGGGGGTTCTTCTTCGCAAGTCTTGGGATGATGCGGCGCGGGGAAATCGACCAGCACACTTGAAATTGATATATCGGGGGTACCAGCTAGTACCAATCACTAAACTATGAACAAACCCCACACAATGTTTTGTTTTCTTTTTCTTTGTTTATTTCCCCCTGACATTAAGCGAAAGGCAGTGCTTCTCCAGTGCGCCGGTAAGTAACTACCGAATTGCGGGAAGAAGTGACTTAGACATCGTGTGCGTGTCGCACAGGAGTTCCGAGTCTTCAACCTCGTGGACATTATCTCACGAGATTTTGGAATGAGCCAGAAATTTCGCCTGCACGAGCTGCTAGGCCCTTGAATCATAAAAGCACCTCCGAAAGAGTCTTGGAATTGAAGATAAAAGGCTCCGGTAGAGTGAGCCGCGAGAGTTTGTTAGGAAGTTGATAATTCTCCTGTCGCCTTCCTGGTAACACGCACAGATGTTTCGGAGCAGAGTGATATTTCATTCAAAAGTTTATCTTAATTCTCTGGCGATATGAATATGACGAGCTAAGGTTTCTCGGTCTCCACGGAGTAGAGATGATCTACTGGGCCGGTTTTGGCCCCCAATGTTTCAGACGCAAGATACCTGTGCTTTGTCCAACCAAGCAACCCTGAAAAGTACGTTGTAACATTCCAAGCATGGATGCTCCTGGAGATTTTCTTCTGACAGCTTGACATCAGCTTCTTTCAAGCATGGTCCCTGCTTTCATGGCCGCGGAGAACAATGCCGTGGAAACATGAACGTAGTTTATAATTTAGTGACCGGAAAACAGCCAAGACTATAGTCGAGTGATAATCCATGATGATAACAAAAAAGGGCCTGTGTTCGTTTGGTCACTCGACCCTCAAAAATATATTCCAAACAGAATCAATATAAAGTCTTAATATAACTTTCTTTCGTATCCAATACTTCGGTTGGTGCGTGCCTTTACTTTCGTGATTAGTACTTTTACCCCTTAGATCTTGCAGTTGCCACTGATAAGAAATCCCTACCAGGTAGATGTACCGGTAATGATCACCCGACCACTCAAAGTCTTCAAACCCCCAGTTCCAATAATTATTTTGTTCTACCTCCCAACAAAACTCAGCCCATTTAAACTTGGTTTTTCAGCTTTGTTATTTTTGTTGAGCCGACGCATATATTAGCATATACGGGAGCCATTCTCTTATATGGGACTCTTTCCGCTCCGAGGGCTTCGTTGGTATATGTTAAATACCAGCTATGGATTAGAGTCTCTGATATATGGCCACATATCAGTATAAACTGGTTTAAGAAGATAGGTACAAAAAACCAGAGTAATGTAGCTCGGTAGATGGCCTAACCGATCGAATAGAAGGGAGTAAGATGACGAAAGGAGGTTTGATGACGAAGGGTTTGGAATATAGATATATCTTAAACATGTATCAATCTCCTAGATATTTTGGTGCATTCATTCATGTAGGTAATACAGGTTTTGAGGCCATGATAAGTAATATTCCTCATGATATATTTCGATAACCGGTTTGAGTAGGAGCGCAATCCCTTGTTCAGTGTTACGGGCCTTGTCGCGGTCATATTTACATGGAATCCTTCTGCTTGCTAGTGTGATTCATGAGGTCGAAGTATTTTGCGCCCTGCCCTGATGAACAAAGTGGTCCAACTCATATTATCTTAAGATGCAAAGGTACAGGTACTTCGCAAAACTCTGTGATTTAGTGGTCACCTAATGCCTCCCCCCGATGGATAAGGGGGAGGAGCCGTCCAAAACTACCAGGAATATGTTTTAGAAAAAAAAATGAGCAGTTCTCTGAACTAAACACTTGCATGCCTCCTAGATAAGCAGTGCTTTGGCAAAGTTTCATAGATCCGGCATATTTGGGGTTCAACGAGCGAAGCAGTATCGAGATAGCATAGGCTTCCTCGTTGTCATCAGGAAGCCTTTCCATTAGTCTACTTTAACGGAGTTGAGATAGATAAAGAATTTCCCCGTTTGAAAATGTCCCGTCATTTTTGGACAAGCTTGTCGGGATTGGGTCGGGCCTGATCAAAAAACAGAGTAATGTCCTGATTCATACTTAATTATCTAGATACACAGACCTAACCCTATTTCCGAGGTTAACTTAAGTTCCACACCAAACAAAACCTGCCAGCCGTAAGCTTGGTGGAGTAGTTATGTGGAATAAAATTCGGTGCTTTGTCTCTTATGCCGATTGGTTGAAAATGATATTTCCGTTACTGGTTTCTTGGTTTATATAACTACAACCAACCAAGTAATGATAACCTGCAGCTGCCTAGATATCACCAGTACTCCGGCCCATGGACTTAGAATCGATACCTAGAGAGGACTACCGGTCACCATGAGTAATAAATCGCAATTTCTCTTAGTAATACTCGATCTGGATAGTTAATTCTTGGGTTTGGAAGTCTTCTTCTTGATATTGTAAAAACTAGCATTATTGATCATTGCCAATAGAAATGGCGACTGCCCGGCCTCGTGCAGTATCTACATTATATGAAAACTCATTTGACTGGATGACACCATAAAAATAAGATGTATGCGTGATTATCTAGATATCAAAGGTCTAGAATTTGTATTCCAAATCACAAATACTTTTGCAGAGTGGCCGTATATAACTCGATAAGCTGTATAAGATGATCCTGCAAGTTACAGTTAAAGTTCAAGCTTTTTGGGTATCAGATCAACGATCTTACAAACAGTTACATCTAGTTAAGATATTATTACCTTGCACATAATTATTAATGTCTAATTTCATTCCTGCATTCAGAATATAAAAGCTCTAGCTATAGCTAAACTGTGGTATTTTATAGCAACCCTAATAACAAAACCAGACTATGTTGAAAGTCCGTACTCCTTTCATCCCCGAAACCAGAAACCGTCCAAATGCCACCCAAACATCCCAAACCTAGGTATACAATATAAAACCCACAGACCCCCGTACGCGTGTAAAAAGTAAAATCCCCGCAAAAAAGACCGAACACCGAATAGATGAATACCGAGTGGGTCTAAAACATAAAATAAAAAAAGAAAAAACAATAAAACAGGATGTGTAGAAATCTAGTCCATGTATCTAACCAATCATTATTACAAGCAAACAAACCCGAATGCTGAGTATCACTCTTGCCAACATTCTAACTTTTGTATTATCTTGCTTATTCATGTTCCTCGACGGGAACACATGAACAGAACAAGTTGAGGTCGCCGTATGCTAAATCGCTGGTTAGCATTCACGAAGAGAAAAAAAAAATAAAAACCGCCCCAAGGGTTAAAGAAACTTACAATCATCCACTCTAGTAACGGTGGCCCAGAACTTCCTATCCTTCAAGTATGGCAACGGGTATGCCGCCATCTCCCTGGTGTAAGGCCTATCCCACTCGCTCACCAACAGATCCCTCTGTGTGTGAGGAGAGTTCTTGAGAACATTACCCTCCTTAGGCATCTCGCCATTCTCAACAGCAGCAATCTCTCCCCTGATTTTGATCAATGCATCACAGAATCTGTCAAGTTCCTGAAGATTCTCAGACTCGGTGGGCTCGATCATAAGGGTCCCAGATACTGGCCATGACATGGTCGGTGCGTGGAAACCATAATCCTGAAGTCGCTTGGCGATATCGATGACTTCAATTCCACAAGTATCTTTGAAGTTACGAACGTCAAGAATGAACTCATGGGCGCATCTATCCTTGGAGTTTGTGTAGAGAATCTTATAGTGGGGGGCGAGGCGGGCAGCCATGTAGTTAGCGTTGAGCATAGTAATTTTAGTAGCGTGAGTGAGACCACGAGCTCCCATCATCTTGATGTATGACCAGGTAATGGGCAAAATGCTCGCAGATCCCCAAGGTGCCGCTGAAATTGGAGCAATGGCCTTCTCTCCACCGGTTTTGATAAGTGGATGCCCTGGCAAGAATGGTGCAAGGTGAGACTTGACACCAATTGGTCCGACACCAGGTCCTCCACCTCCGTGAGGAATGCAGAATGTTTTGTGCAAGTTCAAATGGCAAACATCCGCACCAATCTCTCCAGGGCTGCAGAGACCAACCTGAGCGTTCATGTTTGCTCCGTCCATGTAAACCTGTCCGCCATGGGAATGAATAATGTCACATGCCTTCTTGACACCAGGCTCAAACACACCGTAGGTGCTAGGGTATGTGACCATGAATGCACCAAGAGAGTCCTTGTATTTCTCAGCCTTGGCTTCGAGATCCTCCATATCCAAGTTACCAGTTTTTGGATCACACTTGACAGTAACAACCTTCATTCCAGCCATAGATGCCGAAGCAGGGTTGGTTCCATGGGCAGATTGCGGGATGATGCAAATATCACGGTGCGCCTGACCAGTTGACTTGAGGTACTCACGGATAACACGGAGACCAGCGAATTCACCCTGGGCTCCCGAATTGGGTTGTAGAGAAACCGCATCGAAACCAGTAATATCAGCCAAGTCTGTCTCAAGCTCATCAAGCATCTGCTTGTAGCCCTGGGCCTGCTCGACAGGGGCGAAGGGATGAAGAGAATTAAATTCAGGCCATGAAATTGGGATCATTTCTGTTGTTGCATTCAATTTCATTGTGCAAGACCCGAGAGGAATCATGGAGTTGGCCAACGACAAATCCTTGGATTGAAGGTGGTGGAGGTATCTCAACATCTCGGTCTCCGAGTGATGGCTGTTGAATACCGGGTGTTGAAGGTACTTGGAGGTTCTGGCAAATGCCTCAGGGACAGCAGTAGGGGCACCAGGTGCGATCTCTAGGTCCTCGGCAATCTCAGTCAACATCTCGTTCCACTTGAGTCTTCCAGGGATTCTCTCTGCAAAAGCAGACATGGCAGCAAAAATATCCTCAAGGTCCTGAGATGAAACGGTCTCGTCCATAGAGATTGCGACCTTCTCTTTGTCCAGTATTCTCAAGTTGATACCATACCACTCCTCAACTTTGGCCACAGTATCGGCAGCATCCTTGACCTTTACAACAACGGTATCAAAGTAGCCACCCTCGGCTTTTGATCCACCATTGACCTCAAATCCCAACCTTGAAAGACCCTCCTCCAAAATCCTAGCCATTCCATACACTCTCTCCGCAATAGCCTTCAATCCTGCTGGTCCGTGATACACAGCATACATGGCACTCATGTTTGCCAACAAGGCTTGTGCGGTACAGATATTGCTGGTGGCTTTTTCACGACGAATGTGCTGTTCTCTGGTTTGCAGTGAGAGACGGTACGCTGGGTCGCCCAACCGGTCCCTCGAGACACCAATCAATCTACCTGGCATCTTTCGCTTCCCCTTGTCTGAAGTCGCGAAAAACGCAGCATGAGGACCACCGTAACCAAGAGGAACACCAAACCTCTGAGCATTTCCAAATGCAATGTCAGCACCGAATTCACCAGGGGGTTTCAACATAGTCAAAGCAAGCAAATCTGTGGCTGCCGACAAGGTAGCCCCGAACTTGTGCGCAGTATCAGCAACTTTTGAGTAGTCATTGATTGACCCATCAGTTGCCGGGTATTGAATAAGAACACCAATGAGATCTTCGCCGACGGTTTCCACGGCGGCAAGATCGAGGGCATCGCCGACTTGAACATTAATCCCAAAGCCCTCAGCACGAGAGTACAGGGCCGCAATAGTTTGTGGGTGGACTTTGCTATCAACAAAGAAAGTCTTGTTGGAGCGCTTTTGGCGGGAGAGTGGAAGAAGACCCAAAGACATGGTCATAGCCTCAGAAGCGGCTGTAGCTTCATCGAGAACGGAGGCATTGGCAATTGCAAGGCCGGTGAGATCAGTTACGACAGTCTGGAAATTGATGAGAGATTCAAGACGTCCTTCAAAAACGGAATGAGTCAGCAGACCGTTCCCCTGCCAAGCATTTCGAAACTAAGAACCCTTAGAATTGAATGAAACTTACCTTGGGAAATCTCAGGTTGGTACGGGGTATAACTAGTGTACCACTCTGGGCTTTCCAACACATTTCTCTGAATAACTGCTGGGGTCTTGGCTCCATAATAACCACAACCAATATACGTCCTCCTCATCTTGTTTTTGTTCGCAATTCCTCGGAGCCTCTCCAAAAGCTGACTTTCACTCAACCCATTCTCGGGCTCGACCTTAAGTGCCCTTTCAGAGAGGATATTATCAGGGACTACATCCCTAACGAATGCATCCAGAGAATCATATCCAAGCGTTGCAAGCATTTTGTTTGTTTCTGCCACATTGGGACCAATGTGGCGCCTTTGGAAGGTATCGAGCGGCTCAAATATCGAAACATTAACTGCCTTTTCGGTCTCAGTAATGGTTGTACTGGAGTAAGTGCGCTTCTGAATTTTGGGAATTGTAAGGGCAGCAGTGGCGACAAAACGGGTATGAGGTACTGAAGCAGGACGAAAATGAGGTTTTGTGCTTGGAACTCTGGCCAAAGTCGGCGAAGAGAACACCCTCCTTGAGACCATCAAACGACGCATTGCTGACGAAGACATTGTTGCTGTTGTTGTCTTCAAATGCGATCAATTGAGAGAATTTTTTTTTGTGTTGGTTTTCTTATCGTGAGACCTACGATACGATAACGGAATAAGCTTAAGCTCGATTGGGAGATTATTTGGATAAGGGCTAAGAAAGAAAAAAAAGCCACCACAAACCTCGATGCAGAATTTTTTCTATGCTTTATTGAAAGGCTGTGAATATAGAGATAAGAGCCCAGAAATTACAGATTTACTGAGTTGCTTTAAAGCAAGAAAACAGTACAACCAGGCAATTCTAAAAGCTGTCAGTGATGTAACAAATATTGCCTGCGACAGGCCGCGAGTAGCCGAGGCAGAGAGGCAAACCAGTCAGGGCGCGATGAGATGCGAGATGGCAACGTCCCTGAACGTCACAACGATGCGGACACTATCGGGTTAAGGCTCAAAGAGGAAAACCACTCAACCAGTAAAAAACCGGCGAATAAAGTGGTGAGAAATTTGCCACGGATATATGAGAAAGATGAGAAGGAGAAGAAGAGGGACGATGAAGAGGAAGAAGGGAGAGGAGGGGAGAATGAGGGGAAATAGAAGTGGAATGCAAGAGTAAACTTTAATTGTACGGAGGCGACGGCGTAGTGCTAGTGGACGTGATGACTCCAGCGATAGCAGTCCCGGTTTGCGATAAAGGGAAGCCGGTAATACGGTACTGCTCGGCCCTGGGGCTAATCGGTAGAATGGAAGACAAGAAAGGAAGCTCAGGTTATCCTTATTTGCTTTCTTTCTCGGAATTATTATTATGATTGTACTCTTGAGCTCGTAGATAGCTTGTACTGGGGATATACCAGCTTTAAGGAGTCAGCAGAATCGGATATATCAACAACATTTCACCCTTCCAACTTCCCCTTTCGCCCCCAAATGTCTTCTCCTTTCTTTTCACGACATATTCAATGCTACCATACACGTATGTCGTCTTCTGACAGCTTATCTTCCAGATACAATCCTCCTTTGGGGTCGTTCCTTATCACGAGCGTGCTGGCCTATGTACTCAAGCACCGACATTCTGTATCCTGGAGCACGCACACCCGGTTTGAACCCTGCAGCTGCATCGTGGATGGTCCCTGAGATTAATTTTTGCCATGCACCCGTTCTTGGTGGAAGCACAATGCTTCTACGAAAGTGTTGACAAAGTGCTAGTAGTATTGCTACCAGTCTAGGTGGAACGCCCTCGGAAAAATAGTGGTGTCGTGAGGTAAAAATATGCATAATTCGATACTCCTAGTCGTCGCTCTGGCCCGCTGCCCACCGATAAAAGTAAGCCGTTGCGACTCGCATGGAGGACAAAGGGAGAGTCAGTATACAGTATTGTTGGGATTCAATAGGTACATACCAGCAGGTGCTCCCTGCATTGTGCGTGAGGAAGAGGCAAAGGAGTGTCGTGAGTAACCATCGTGAACTCAGATCTGACTGACGATGGTCGTCTAGAATTAAGGCTGTCTTTTTTCAATGTCTCGTCTCAAGATCAATACCGCATTTGGATCCATTTGCAGCAAATTCAACCTTTCTTTGCGTTTTTTGCTTTTTCGCTTTTTTTTACTGCGGAAAAACTCTAACGGTTTAATGCCTAGACTTTGCTTTTTATGGATTCATACAGTTCCTCTTTACCAACCCACCATGGCGGTTTCTTGGACAAATCTTTAACTGCACGTACCTGCTCAAGTGACTTCTGTTTTTAGAAGTCTTTAAAACTCGACATCTTTTACATAACTGCTCTACGATTATTCTATCGTATAACTGTACTTGTATGTGTAGTACCTGATCCGGGAGTTAAAATTCAAAACCAAGCTGTAGTTTGAGATTTTTCACTCCTTACAATTCGTTCTTCCTTCCAAGACTTGAAGCCATAAATTATCAAATGAGGTAAACCGCGTTTGAGGTTAACTGTGTTTATGGTAGATGCAGTGGTCCGCTTTCAAGCGCCCCCCACTTACCGCTTTCAATTTTTTGATATTACTACCAAGCAACATCTGCCGTTATCCAACTATATCCCGAGAAATCCTGCACGTAAAATCGACACACGTTTATATTTCAGTCCAGTACTGAATGCTAAAACATAAACCAATAAGAAGATTTTTTTGATCTCTACCTCTAGATAGGCCACCCGTACGTAGAAAGCACGCCCTCCATACCAACCCAGCCCCAACACCAACATACAACAGTAATAATAGTAACAGCATTGATAGTAGTAGCTCTGGTAGCCTAATAACCTACTCCACTAATCAAATATCACAAACCATCCGCCCATCTCCCTCTCTTCGTTTTCATATGTCACTCGACATCAATACATTCCTTAATCCAATCAACCAACTACCAAATCCTACCAGCATAGCCTTGCTTAACACATAAAACCTGGTAAGAAAAAGAAATGAAATATGAATAAGAAATTAGATTTCCAGGAGTCAGAGAGAGAGAAGTCAAAACAACTGGATGGAATGGAGGAATGAGAATAGTTAAAAGAAAGAAAGAAATCTCCATAGCCCCCGAACAAAGGGAAAATCAGATCCAACCTTCTCCCACCACACCAAAGAAAAGACTAGGAGGAAGGAACCCCAACAGATGGAAAAACAAACAACACCGAAATGCGATATGAATGCAAAACACTAAACATCTATTTTTTCTTCACCTCACACGCCCATCCTTCAATACCACCCCGGCTTCCTACCGGCACGTCAACCCCTACGCCCTCCATGCCTAATGTGTCTTTGACGAAATCGTGTCCGCTCATTCCGCCGGCATTAGCTCGCTTTTCAGGGTTCAACTCCAGCATCGGTGTTAATATTTCGCTAATTTGGTTGGCCTCTTCGTCAGAGAAATGGTATTTCTCCCGTAGGACATCGGGAAGTGCCCAGTGTCGCAGACGATGGATATTGCGAAGCTCGCCCTTGCGATTGAAGATCTCCATGGACCACTTTCCTGTCATGCAGAGGTGGCGCGGGAAATTGCCAAGAAGTTCAATTATCTGCGCGATGTGATCATCATCCTTGCCATATTTAGTGCCGGACTGGGGGTCGAAGAGGTAGTCGCCAGTGATGAGCTCAAAAACCTGGTGAATATAAAATCAGTAAATGCAAAACTGATAGCGTCTGTGCTCTATAAATTTCCAAGGAAAACGTACCATGCAAGCCATGCTCCAAATATCTGTGCTAGCTCCCCACTTGGCTCCCAAAATAACCTCTGGTGACCTGTACTGTCTAGTTTGGATATCGTTTGTGAAGTGATGATTTACCCAGCAGGCATTCCCGAGATCCGCAATCTTTACAGAAATCTTCTCCAATCCAGGAATGACCTCATTCTTGTCCAAATCAAAATTTACAGTTGGCGGCTTGTTGAGTGATATACCGGAAACTTCTCTAGTTATGACGTCGCTGCGATACCCAGCAAATTAGCTTCTTGATTTCGTGAGCTACAGGGGAAACGGTTGCTTACGCTGTCTTCTCTCGAACCTTGTATGCAGGGTCATCCATGTCCATGCCGTTATTTCCATTAAATGAAGACTCGGAGCTGCCATTGGATGTTGTCGTTGAACTTGCAACTAGCTTGCTCAGGGAGCTCTGGTTACTCAGCTTCGAGGCACCTGCACCGTGCGGGTGATCGTCATGTCTATGCGCAAATGTAGTGCTGATCGGACTAGGTAAGGGTTGACTGCCAGTGATGAGCGTCCTTCTTCGCCTCCGCCCATTCCTATCTCCCTTGTCCCCATTTACTCCCAGCTTTTTCCCTTCCTCTCCGTTGACGTAGGTCCTAACGATTTGCTCAACATCGCCAATCTCGATCAGAACGTTTTCTGGTTTCAAGTCGGTGTGGATGATTCCGCATTCCCGGTGGAGGTAGTCCAGACCCAACAACACTTGCTTCGTGATCTGCTTGACGAGGGCCATGGGAATTCCTCGGTGGTTATACCTCTTGATCAAGCCCAACAGATTCTCTCCGAGAACCTCGAAAACCATGCAAACATGCAGTCCGTTGGGCCCCTTGTGTTCAAATGAATCCAGCAGTTGAACGACATGTGCCTTTCCCGGGTGATTTGGGTTCGCCGCGACTATTCGCTGCAACAACTTGATCTCGTCCAGCGCAGTCTCGGTGTAATGTGAAGCGCTGCGAACGACCTTCAGCGCCACATGCTGGCCAGTCTCGTTATCCCGTGAAAGCCACACAGTTGAAAAGTGACCCCAGCCAAGCTTCCTGATTACTTCATAACGTCCCTCCTTGAAGATTTCGCCAACCTCGACTGGGTGGTAACCGCCCTTGCAGTAGTCCTCGTAGTCTTCTTCGTCGGCGGTGTTTCCCTCGTCCTCGTCGCCTGTTCGCGACCCTGATGACACCCGCGAGCTGGCAGAATTTGCGGAAGGCGGTACGGTATACGCGGGTGGTGTGGATTTTTGGTGCGATAGTGAGGCTGTTACATCACTAGTATAGAAAAAAGGTGCCGAGAAGGCAGAAGCTTTGTCAGTTATGTGCATGAGGAAAGCGGGAAGAACCATAAATTATGTTGTGCAAGCTGTTGCACGCAAAGAGTCGCAAGTAGCGGGAAAGTGGTCAAAGAAAATGTGTTTATGAAGTGTGATGACGGATAGGGAGAGATGGAGGGGGGAACAAGGGCGGGGGAATCAGATGAGGTTGGAGGGGGTTTTTGTGATAAAGATGGTGGTGGGGGAAAGACTCTTGGTTTAAGAAAATTTGGAGGGGGGGGATGATCAAAAATACCTTTGTGCAGATTTCTGGCCCGCTGCAGCATCGGTGGTTGCGGGTGTTTGCGGCGCGCTACCATTCGTACTGCCAGTCTCCTTCTCGCCAGTCATTATGGGCTTCAAATCTTGCCCCTTTCTCCGTTTCTTGTTTCCGTTCGTAATGGGGTTTGTTGTAGCTGCCGTCGCCGCCGCCGTCGCGACTTGCTTGACCTTGTTCATAGCCGCCTTCTTAACACCGACGTCGCCGTTCATGCTGTCAACCTTTGTTAATGCGATTTTTTCGACCTTTTTTTTTTTCCTTTCTTTTTTACTTTTTTATTCTCTGGGGAACAGATGAGGGTGGATGAGTTCTTTTTTTAATTTTTTATTCCTTTTCCCCTATGCTCGAGGATCTTTCTCGGAGGATGGCCGAAGGAATCTTTCTTGGAAGGGAGACCGTGGTATGGTTAATCGAGTTGAGTGGTTGCGAGGGGTTTTAGAGGTGGGGGTTGGAAGCGTAGTTGTGGGAACGGGGCAAGGCGAGAAATGGACCTTGGCGATATGGAGCTAGTGTAGGTAAATGGACGATATGCTGTTTTATGCCTGTGTTGCTGAACAACTACAGCAACAGCAGCAGCAGGTAAGAGGATTAACTGAATGTACGAATGTATGAAATGTATTTCGGATTGTGTGGATGCGTGAATGCGCGGATGCGAGTTATGTATCTTGCAGGCGAAGGAGGCACCGGAGCAAGAACACAACGTATTAGGTATCCTGGGAAGCAACAGGTTCGTAGAAAAAAGGAAGAATAGTTGAACGCCCACAAGCAGGTCTGAGACTTGGTTGATTGGGGATGATAGAAGGGGGGGTACAAACAACAGCCAGAATGGATAGCTAGGTAGGAGGGATGGGGAAAAAGCAGAGAGAGAGAGAAGGATGGATGATGGATGAATGGACGGATGTTGTTGTTGACAAGACAAGACAAGAGTCTACTTACAAGAACGCCTGTGAGTTCTTTCTAGACTACCATGTATTAATATCTACTGGACCAACAGCAGAGCAGGTTTTCATATCTCTTCCAACAGTGTCCTACTTGATTTTAAATTATTTTTTTATTTTTTGGACGCCCCCCCCTTTTTTTTAAACGCTCTCTCTTCAATCGTCTGGAGTTTGGGCGGGTTACTCTTGTACCCCCCTCCTCTGTCTCTTCGGCGGACACTCTTCCCCTCGTATGTTCCGTTGTCGTCTCCCGCTTACTCGTTCCCACCAAGACTGTCGTCGATCGTTGGACACTGCGTCTGTCTCTTCCGAATTCGGCAGAGGCAAATCGCTGGTAGATAGCTGCTCAGCCAGAGTTGGAAACACAAGGTCAGGATCAGAGGAACCCTTTCGCACCTGAAAAGAAGTGAGAAAAAAAAGGATGATTCCCGCGAAGGGGCCAAATATAAATATTATAATTCGATGAAATAAAAAAATGCCGGTTGGTTTGTCGGTTGTACAGCGAACGAGCAGTCTGGTTTGGTATGGAATTTTTTTTTTTTTACCTCAAAACCCTCCTATCAATCGAAGACTCAGGGTTGGCCACACTTTGCGGATGCACGATATGCGAGCAACCTCAGTCGTTTAAAGGGGGGGCATATTAACCGCAGTGTTAATGTTAATGTTCACATCTCACCGCATAAGTGGCACAGCTGTGGAGATCACATACATCCATCACTCATGTTGTTTTAAGCATTTTCTCAACGAACAAAGGCAGATACAATATACACGGTAGTAAAAAAAAACACGATAGAGTTATCATGCAACGCCCCGGCAACCTGGTGGGGCGATTACTGCCTTGGACGCCCTGGGTTGTTCTATTCGTCTGTACCCATGGAACTTTGAAAGCGCTTGCACATACATAAACCCACAAGGTGACCCGGTCAAGAGGGGAATTCTACATATGAAGACGCATGCAACCCCTCAGCAAGAACAGAGCTGGGTATCGAAGAAAGGGAAAAACGAGTCCCCATCACCACACGGCGCATCACGGACCCAGAAACAAAAGGAAAACCCCTCCTTCGCCTCTTCCCTTTCTCCCCATCCTTCCTCCAATCATTGAATCACGGGCTTCCAATAGCCGCCCTAGGCCCTGCTATTCGGAGGTCAGAAATGACATTTACCTACATCCTCCTATGCAGTTTAGGCGGGGTGGTGGAGAGAAGTAAGCAGGCTTCGATATAAACATATCGATCCTAGGATATGGGCGAATGTTATTAATATCGCGCCTGATGTTCGGATTCTGGGATTGAGGCTTCGCTTGTCGTGCTCACTTGAGAATGCCCTGCCAAGCCGGTTATATGACTACAAGCAAAGCTCGATTGCATCATCGAGCAGCGCTGAAACACCTGATACAGCTGCTCAGGCTGGTGCTGTGGCTTGAGAATCCCTGCAACTTACTGTTCTTGAACGAGCCCCAGCAATTCGGGCTCGAGGGTTTGAGGTCTAGAGGATTCGAGGAGTCAAATCATGTGAGGAATTGGTGGGTTACACGAAGAATCATGAAAACAAAGGTCTTAGAAGACAAAGATATCAAGAAACAGCCCCGCGTGGAGGCAGGAAACGGGTCTCGTCTCCGGCCTTGGTCCGGAAAGCAAACAACTAACCAGCTTGATTGGATATCACGAGTTGAGTTGAGTTAATCTGCAGTTTTACAACCGCGGGGAAACACATCATATTTTTTCTTTTCTGGTTTCATGTTTCTCTCACGATGTGAGGAAATTAGACATCTTGATGACTTGCAAGCTAGCACAGAAGCGCTTCAATATGCGTCATCCTAAACCTCAAAGATAACAGACCCTTGCTATCGCCCAATTGCCGATCATAGATTCTCACTCGGGGTGGTTCCGAAACCACCCAGCGTGATTTTCAGATCCTGAGATCGTGAGATGTCAAGATCGGAGTCAAGCCTTAGGATTAACAGCTCGGTAGTTGGGTTGCGGGGTGCAAACGAAACGGGGTAAATTCGCTCTGCAGCCATTACAGCGGCAAGTCCCGCATTGGCCCCCCCCCGTATCTGGAAGGAAATACTGCAGCTCTCCCGTACCTTAAAAGGTTATTGCCCTGGATCTAGAGTTCTTAACCTGGTTCGTTCAAAGTAACCTTCTAGTACTCTTAAGTCCTGAGGAATTTTGTGAGGTCATTGCTACCAAGAATTCTCAGGGCTTAATTAATACGTGAGTATATCCCAGCGGATCAAGAGATCATTTCCCACCTAACCCTGGTCTCCTTCGTTAAACTTTAGGTTGCTATTAACGTCAGTCTCTGGACCGGGTTTAGGAGTTCTGGGACCATACGATCCTAGAAGGCCCGGTGGGAAGTTTCAGCTCCCTTCTCTGTGCGACTGTGTGGTTAATTATACACTTGATGTTTAGGTTCGCCGGCTATAGACGTGTGAACCCCAGGTTAAATACTTGCTTGACACTCAGTGAATTACATCTTAGTTCAAAGATATTAACCGTGATTAATCGGGAGATGCCAGAAAAATCGTAAAGTTCCTTCAAGTCTAGCATCAAGGCGTACAATATGTATGCAGGTGCATGCAATGGGGATCCACTATCGTAGCTCTGGCCAGATCTCCAGAACGTTCGACGATACCAATCGTCGAGCTAAGACAATTGCATGATCGTGGTGTAACCTATAACTGGAGCGCAGAGAGGTGTGTGGCTTCGGCAGCCTAGACCTACGGCCAAAGCTTGGGACTGAGATACTCACGTGTGCTCTATTACAAGCTCCAACTACTGTCACACGGTCTATATCACAGGCGTAGAAAGTGCTTGAATCGACCTTGGTGATAAGGGCCGCGTTTAAGGCGCCATAAAACACCCGGGATAGAAGTACACTTCACATAAACGCGCGCCTGGTACAAGTTTAGTAACTACATGGAGTCTGTTCCGTGTCCCGTAGATATGCAGGATGGTCGACTTGGATATTAGCTGTCAATATACTAGCTACTTTAACTAAACGGTGTATATGTGACCAGTATCTACAACATGTAGGGTCCAGAGGCGCCAAGTGCCCTGACAGAGAGTAGAGTCTTCCCATGATATTCCACACAGTAAAACACTAGTGAAGAATGCAAATAAACTAGAAACCCCGCCATCTAAACATTACCCCAGATATGCACAATTCCAAAAGTAATAGGAACTATATTCTCCGACCTATACCGCTAATCAACGCATTAATCCAAACCCACACTTCCTGCCAGCCCGATCGAGTGAAGAAGCTGTGTGAACCCTAATCCACGTGACACTATTCAAAAGCCAATGATCAACTACACTTGCAAGCAACACACCCCTATCTATTAGTAGCTACAGCCCTCTCTTCTGCCACAACGAAGCAAAGAAAGCTCTCTAGTCGAGCACTAACTAAATTTAAGAGCTAGTCGATAAAAAAGCATTGTACTCTACATTATTACGGGACCCAGTCCCTGACTGACTGGCCGACGAACAGAGGAGAGGAGAACGGAAGAAAGTAGGAAAGCAGAGACAGAAAAACACAAAGCAGAGTTAAAAAAAACACCAGCAGAACCTTTTCCACGCAAAACAAAAGTCACAAAAATCACACAAAAAAAAAAGAATAACCCACACCACTCACACCCCCACTACGAATTCCTCAGCGCCGCCACGGCCGCCGTCCACTTCTGCTCATCCCGCTTATCAAACTTCAGCAGCATGCCCAGCACGGGCACCAGCTGCATCTGCGTGCGCTTCTCCTTCTGCTCCAGCAGCTGCAGGAACACGTTCTTCAGATAGTCCGTGTTGACCGTCTGCTCGCCCGACAGCGACGACCGCGACGAGTCCACGGATGTGCGCAGTTGTGGCCGTGGCGCGGGCGACGGCGACGTCGGGCTCGTGATGCCCTTGCTGCGGGTGGCGCGGTGGTCGTCTTGCAGGGCCTGGGAAGGGACGTTAGTATGCTGCTGGTGATAGTGGGGGAGAGGCGGTAGGGGAGGAAGTACCTTGTGCGTCTTCAGCAGCTTATCGTACCTGCTCTGCAGCTCCTCCAGCTCCTTGCGCGCCTCCGTCTTCTGGCGCTCAATCTCGCGCACCTGGCCGTCCGTCTTGTCGAGGGTGTCCCTCATGCTGTCCAGCGCCCACTTCGTCTCGCCATACTCCCTATTGACCCTCTCCAGCTCCGCCTCCACCTTCGTCCTCCCCTCCCTGGCACCGACCAACTCCCTCTCCGCGCTCTCCTGCGCCTCCTCCGCCCTCTTCCCCGCCTTCTCCGCATCCCGCACCCTGTCCCGCAACTCCTCCATCTCCCTCGCCCTGCGGCGCCCCACCGTCGCCGCCTCCTCCTCCGCCCTATCGCGCTCATCCAGCGCCGCCTCAAGCCGCTCCTTCATCTCGCGCGCGCGCGCCTCGTGCCGCGCCTCCACGTCGCCCAGCAGCCGCCGCATGGTCTCGGCCTCGCGCGTGCGCTCCGACAGCAGCCGCTGCGACTCCAGGAGGTCCTCCTCAATGCTCTCGCACTTCTCCGCCGCCTCCTTCATCTGCTGCGCCAGCTCGCCCGTCTGGCTGCGCATCGCGCCCACCATCTCCTGCGCGCCCGCATACTGCGCGTTCTTCGCCTCCAGCTCCTCCGTCAGCGCCGCGCGCTCGTTGCGCAGCGCCTGCGTGTCCTTCTCGAGCGCCGCGAGCTTCGTCCGGGCCGCAGCCAGGTCCTCGCCCGCGCGGGTGAGGTCTTTGCCGGCCTTGTCGGCCGCGGACTGTGCTTTCTGGGCTGCGTCTTCAGAGGCGCGGAGGGACTTCTGGATCGCGCGGGTGGCGTCTTCGGCCGTGACGCGGCGGGCCGCCTCGTCGCGCACCTTCTGCCGCTGCTTCTCGAGCTCGGCCTCTTTCTCGGCGAGCTTCTTGGTGAGCGTTGCGATCTCGGACTTGAGGTCGCGCTCGCAGCGCTCGAGGCGCCGCAGCTCGACGAGCTTCTGGTTGGCCTCGTTCTTGGCCGCGCTGAGCGTTGCGACCTCGGTGCGGAGCGGGACGAGCTCGGCCTGCGCCTTCTCGAGCGCCGCGCGGGCGTCGGTGAGGTCCTGGGCGCGCGTGTCGGAGAGCTGCTGCGCGGCGGTGAGGTCGGCGGTGAGCGTGGCGGCGGTGGCCTTGAGGGCGCCGGTCTCGGTCTGCAGCGCCTCGTGCTCGGACTGGAGTTTCTTATATGCGGCCTCGAGGTCCGCGGAGGTGCTTTCGGAGGCCTCTTTCAGCGCCTTCAGCTCGCCCTCGAGACTCTCGACCTTGGGCTCGAGCTCGTCCTTGAGCTTCTTGACGGCCTGCAGCTCCTGCGTCTTCTCCTTGAGCTCGTCTTTGGCGTCCGTCAGGTCCACGCCGAGATTGATCAGGTCGTCGCGCAGGCTCTCGAGCTCCTCGCGCATGGCGTCCGTGTCGACGGATTTCTTCTTGAGCTGCTCGATGTACGCATCGCGCTTCTCGACCTCGGCCTCCTTCTCTGACAGCTTCTCTTTCGTCTCTGACAGCTGCTCCTTCGTCCCGGAAAGCTGCTCCTTCGCCTCCGACAGCGCCGCCACCTCCGCGCGCAGCGACTCGAGCTCCGCGGTGTCCGCTGCTTGCGCCTGCAGCGCCTCAACCCGCGTCTCGAGCGCCGCGACCTCCTTCTGAAGCGTTTCGATGATGGAGCCGGCGGTGTAGGTGCTCGCGGACGTCGTGGCGGGCTCAGGCTCGTCTTCGACCATCTCGCTCTCCTTGACCGATTCCTCGCCCTTCACGGAGCCCTCGCCCTTCACGGAGCCCTCGACGGAGGCCGCGCCCTTCCCCTTGTTCTTGCGCTTCTTATTCTTCTTCTTCCCCGCTCCTCCCGCACCCGGTGCTGCTGCCGCCGGCGTCGTCGGTGTCGACGGCGTGCTCGGCGTCGCCGGCGCCTCCCCCTCCTTCTCCTGCTCCTTCAGCCTCCGCAGCGCGTCCTCCAGGCGGCCCTCCAGCTGCGCCACCGTGCGCTCCAGCATCGTCTTTGCCTCGCGCAGCTCGAGCACGTCCTTGCTGTACGTCATCATGTTGCGCATCTTCTCGCTGTGCTCCTTGAGCTTGCTCTCCAGGCCCTCGATGTACGTCTGCTTGTGCGCGAGGTCCTTCTGGATCTGCTCGACGCGCGCGTTGCCGCCCTGCGCGGCCTTCTCGGTCGCGGCCAGCTGCTCGGACTTGGCGTTGAGCGTGGCGGTGAGCGTGGAGAGCTGCTGCAGCTTGCTGGTGAGCTCGGTCGTGCGCGATTCGACGGAGGCGGCTTGGGTGGCGGCGGAGGCGAGTTTCTGGGCTGCGGATTGTTCGGCGGCCTTCGCGGCTTTGAGTTTTCCCTCGGCGGTCTTTGTCTGTTCGGCGGCGGCCTTGGTCTTTTCCTCGGCGGCCTTTGTCTGTTCCTCAGCAGCTTTGGTCTTTTCCTCAACGCTCTTGCGCAGCTCCACCATCTCCACAGCCAGCGCCTCCGATTTCGTCTTGACCCCCTCCATCTCCTTCTCCTTCACCGCCGCCGACTCCTTCGCAGCCTCGAGCTGCTGCTGCACCTCCTCCACCCCCCTCCGCATCCCCTCCAGCGCCTCCTCCGCGCCCTTCTTCGCCCCCCCCACCTCCTCCAGCTGCGCCTTCAACCCCACAATCTCCTCCGCCTGCTCCTCAAGCCGCCCCGCCAGCCGCGCGTGCTCGTCGTCAAAGTTGAAGATGTCGTCCGTGTCTTTCTTCTCCTCTATCTTCGCCGTGGTTGTGGCTGCAGGTGCGTCTTTGGCCTCGTCCTGCAGCTTGGTGACGAGCGCCTTCTGCTCATCCCGCTCCTTGCTCACCCGGATGAGCTCCTCGCGCGCTAGGTCTGCGCGCAGGCTGAAGCTGCTGATCCAGTCGATGAGACCCTTGGCGTCGGCGATGCTCTCGAAGGGTGTGTTTTCGCGCAGCGCCTTCTCGAAGGGCTCGATGAGCGCGTTGCGCGCGTGCACGATCTTGTAGGAGCGGAGGAGCTCTGTTTCGTATTTTCCTTATCAGCACAAGCAAGATCGAAAGAGAGGGGGAAGAGAGGAAGAAAGGAAGAGGGGGGGGGGGTAACCGGTGTGCTTCGCTTCAATCTTTTCCAGCTTCCGCAGCTTCACACGCACGTCTGTCGGGAGATCACTGTTTGCCATTGTCCCCGTGCTTCCTCCACCTCCACCTCCACCTCCACCTCCACCTCCACTAGTAGCTCCTCCACCACCACCACCACCACCACCACCGCTATTACTCGGCGTCCCCGGCCGACTTTCTCCCCCCGTACCATTCCTCTCCAACCTCGGCGTCGCCCTGCCGCTCCCGCCACCTGTGCTCCCGCCACCACTGCCATTACTACCCTTCTCCCCAGCACCAACCGCACCAAGCGGGTCCTCGACCACAACCTCGCCCACGGGCGTCCCCGCGCGCGGCGGCGTCGCGCCGTCGCTCTCGAAGTCGGCGGGCGCAGACACGGAGGCGGCGCGCGGGCCGCGGGTCGTGGAGGGGGGCCGGCGCGGGGCGGGGGACGTGCGCGTGCGGGATTCTTGTTGGAGCTGCGAGTCGATCTCGCCGATGTGGGATTCGAGGACGCCTTTTAGTCGGGAGAACATTTTTGTGTGTGTTTGTTTGTTAGAGGAGAGAGGGGGGGGAAGGGAGGGAGGGAGGGAGAGGTGTTGGGGGGAGATGGGGGGGAGGTGGTTGGAACTGGGGGAGGTATGGGGGTCGGGGGCGCAGGGATTCGGGAAGAGGCTCTGGGTGCCAAGGTGTCAGGCTGCCCCCCCCGTTCTGGCTGGTCATTGGATATCACTCGGTGGGGTGTCTCTCTCCACACTTCTGTTCAAAGACGTTTCTATCCATCTGTGGGGTAAAAAACATTGATTCACTAATGTTCAGCCTCTCCACCCCCCCTCCTTCTTCCTTCCCTTACCGCGCTCACTTCTCATGCGTCGCATCGGAACACGTGGCTGTTGGTCGGGTAAAAATAGACACTGCATTGCTGATTCGAATCGTCGATGTATGTTGGCGGTAGGTGTTTGGTTTCTCGCGCGCAGGGAACTGCGAATGGGAGGTATGCACGTTGGTGGTGGTGGGAGGGTTTTGTTTGTCTTTTTTGTTCTTTTACAGACAGGACATAAGCCAAGTGATCGATGCTCTGGGTATTGACGATACGAGAGTGCAGTCTTTACTCTAGAGACACATAGATATGCCTTTCCATCCTTTTCATTGTGACGAGTCTTACAATCTCTGGAAAGGTTGTTCACTTCTCTCTCTACATGTGTCTCTACGAGAATCACAAAGCATCACTCGTCTCGGCAAGCCGGCGCCGTCTGGAGCTGGAGCTGGAGCTCTTGGGAGCTAGGTAGGCAGGGGCCGCGCGTCCAGGGAAATGAACAGCCCGGTCGGTGGTAATCTCGGGGACTTATGCGTGCACATCTCTACTATGGCTGTTGAGGAGTACATAGTCGGAATGGGATGGGATGGGATGGGATGGGATGGGGTGGAGCTATGGTCGACAGCTTCATGGACTCGAGCTGGAGCTTTGCTTGATGGGAGCTGTGGTTATGCTTTAATACTAGTAGATAGATGGAGGAGGTACTAGGTAGTAGGATGGGGATCTCTCTACATGGCACTCTATGAACTGTATACATCCCCCAGTTATTATTCCCACGGCAAGGCAGGGCAGGGCAAGTGAAGTGTTTCAGCCTGTCACCAACACCACCACCGCCACCACCACCACCACCGCCAAGTCCCTCCACACCCCGCCAAGGCACCAACACCCGTCCCAACGCCCAGTCCCAACCACCACCTGTCCCCTCCCCTGCCCAGCACCCAAACCCTCACCTCCCACCCCCCCCCCCATCGGCCAAAACCCCCCCTTCGCCCCCCTCTTGGCCACCCCTTGGCATCCCGAGAAAAACAGTATATAATCCCCCCTCCTCCCGCGCCCTTCTTTCTCTCCTCATACTTACCTAGCGACAGAGATTGGTGCTCACAAAGACCAGTTCCTCAAAGCTTTCCAGACCCTCATTGCACGTCGAGGGTAGGGACTTTGCCAGAGGTCTTCGGGCCTCCTGGGTTGTTCAATTTTTGCTTTTACAAACAAAACCGAATGGGTTTTGATTCTTTCGTTCTTTGCTTGGGTGAGCTGCTGCCTGCTATGGCGGGGCTGCCGAGGCGGGGACGAAAGGGTTTTTTTTTTTTTTTGTTCTTGTGGCGTTCTGGGGGGGCTTTTTGTGGGCTTTGGTTTGGCGTGTTGTTGTTGTTGGGCGCGGGGGGGTAAAAGTGCTGGCCGTAGAGGCTGTTTTCATTTTCATCTGGGCGCGTCCGAGATGGAGAGGAAAAGAATCTCTGGTGCTGGTCTCTCTCTCCCTGTAGCTTTTATTTTGTGTGTTCCCGTAGATGGACTAAAGTAATGAAAATACACGTTGTAGGCCCCGACACGAGCACTGTTCCTCTGAGTGACCCCAACGCATCCGTAGTACGGTAGGCGTTAATGAAAAAAAAAAGAGTCTACAAAAGAAGTCCCCTCATCTCATCTTTCCCGTGTCTGTCTGCTGCCCCAAGTACCGCAAAATCTCAGGAATAACGAATCGAACTGGACTGGAATATTGGCCTTCGGATTGGTCAAATGCTTGTTGAGCCTCAATCCCACAGACCCAAAGCGTAACTTTTGGTCATCTTGACCAATGGGTAAGTGGTATTCCAGCCCAGTGCGATTCGTTATTCCTGAGATTCTGCGGTATCGTGCTGTACCCGTGAGATGTCTGTTTGTGAAACCCCACACCCGCGCTGCGCTGCGCTACAATATTAACATCTCGACCCCACCCACGCGTCGAGTTGTGAATGTATCCAAACTTCCACAACATTCCACATACGCTGGAGCGTCTAGAGCGCCAGATGATATCTACACCCGAGTCTGTATAGCCCTATGTAGACCACCAGAAGCAGAGGCAAGGGTCCCCGCACTCGTGATGTTGGAGGTGTTTTTAGTTTGGGGGTACGCACCTTGCAAGTTTGTAGACCCCCGGGCCCCACCACGAGAATTCCCCCACCATGCCCGTGCCCGTGCCCGTGCCCGTGCCCAACCCCTCCACTCCGCCAAGAATCCTCCCAAACCGAGCATCACGAACTCTTCTCTTCTCTTCTCTTCTCCGAACCCTCGTGAGACAGATCTGGCTCTCTAATAGTACAACAGACTCCTCGCTGGAGCGGTGCCCAAGATGACCTTCATCACCGAGTAAGTAGTCCCTCTGTCTGTCGCTATTCGTCAGTACCGGCCACTGACATCATCCCCGCTCACCCCCAGCCAACTCGTCCACCTCGACGCCCAGCTCGACCGTCTGCAACTCGACCGCCTCCCCACCGCCGACCACGACCACGACCACGACCCAACCTCCCCCTTCACCAGCACCTTCTCTCACCACTCCCACGCCGCCCTCACCCCCAGCACGCACGCCCAGCACCTCCAAAAGCTCATCAAAGCGCTCAGCGTCCTCCCCAACCGCCCACTCGACCCCCACCGCATCGTAACCCTCCTGCAATCCGCGTCCCTCGACACCTCCCCCACCACCACCACCACCACCAGCGACCACACGCCCCTCGACCTCGAGCTCGAATGGATCCTGCTCAGCAAAGCCACCATCCAGACCTACGGCATCGTGCTCGACTCCCTGCTCGCCCAGACCCTCCCGCTCGCGCAGGACATGTTCTACTGGGACTCTGTCGTCTCCTCGCCCCTCGCAACCGCCCTCTACACGCTGCAGACCGCGCCCGCCCGCCTCACCGCCTTCTCCAGCGAGATCCTGTCCGACGCGATGCACCGCCTGAAGGAGCTGCGTGAGATGGAGCGCATACCCGTGCTGCCGGGCCCGTACACCATCGACCAGGACGGCGGCGGCGGCGGTGGCCTCGAGCTACCGCAGGCGGAGTGGCTGGAGGCCCCGTCGGAGAGCGACTCGCTGTCGCTGACAGCAAGGAAGTTTTATGCGTTGGTGAGGAACGCGCTGCATGAGCGCTCGTGGCGGGTGGGCGCGGTGTCGCCGCTGGCGCTGGCGCGGCACGAGATCGGGCGGAAGAGGGCGGCGGTGAAGAGGTTGAGGGAGATGAAGGCGTCGGCGCTGGGGGTGCTGATCGGGGAGGGGCTATCGTTCGGGTTTGAGGACGCCGCTGCGGGAAGGGGGGAGGATGGCGATGAGTGGAAGGGGATTGTGGAGCGTGCGGTGACGCTGATGGAGAATGTGGTGTGCAATGTGAGCACCGTGGACACCACGCTCGACGAGTTCGAGGAGACGGTCTTTGCGCTGGACAAGCCCTCGTCCTCCGCCTCCAGCATCGCCCCCACGGCCGCCGCCCTGCGCCCCACAGCGGCGCTCGCAAAACAGCTCATCGGCATCCTCACCGTCCACCTCCCCACGCAGACCGCCACCTCCCGCGCCCTAATCACCACCTACGGCCGCCCCTCCCTCCTAACCCGCTACTGGCTCCCTCTCACCGCGCTCCTCCTCTCCTCCACCACCCTCCTCCGCCTCATCTCCTCCCGCCGTGCCGCACTCACAACCTGGCTGCGCGACCTCGGCGCCACCACCATCGACTTCTGGAACAACTGGGTCATCGATCCGACCCGCCAGCTCATCGGCACGATCCGCCACAGCGCCGACTCAGAGGTCGCACTCATGTCCCGCGACTCCCTGGCCGCAGACATGCACAGCCTCGAGCGCATGGTTGTCGACTTTGCAATCGACAATCCCGCCATGGCCTCCCCCGACGCACCGCTCTCCGACGCCGTCCTCGACGCCGTCCGCGCCCGCGTCAAGGAGGGGGATCTCACGCCCGTGCTCCGCGCGTATGAGCGCGACATGAAACGGCCGCTGCGCGGCGCGCTGGGCGGCGAGCTGGTGCGCGCGCTGCTGATCCAGGTGCAGAAGACGAAAGTGGATGTCGAGGTGGCGATCAGCGGGATCGACAGGCTGCTCAAGTCGCAGGAGCTTGTTTTTGGGATGGTGGGGGTGACGCCGGGGGTGCTGGTGTGTGTGGGGGTTGTGCAGTGGGTTCGTGGGGCTATGGGGGGCCGGCGGGGGAGGAAATCGTGGGCGAGGGCGGGGGAGATGGTGAGGGTTTTAAGGAACGTTGATAGGATACTGAGTGGGAGTCGGGGGCTGAAGGGGGAGAATGGCGGCATGCTGTCGTATAAGGAGCATGGGCTGTTGTTGTGTGAGGTGCATGTGCTGAGGGAGTTTGCGAAGGGGGTGCTGCCGAGGGGGGTCAGGGCGGAGTTTGTGGAGGATGTGGAGGAGATGGTGGATGTGAGACGGGGCGTGAGGGGGCAGTTGAGGGTTGTGGAGAGGGTGAGGTGGTGAGTTTCTTCTTTTTCTTTTGCGGTTTTAGTTGTTGGTGTTTTGGGTGCCGAGTGGTGGTGGTGGTTGACTGACTGGTTGTGCAGGGCGTACGCAAAATGGATCAGATAGAGAGGTCCAGATGCAGTTGGTTCCTGGTAGGATACTGCAGGAGCTTGTATGCATCGCCTCGATAGAGGCATATCCGGTTTTAGCGGTGGAATTTATGTCCCAATATCCCCAGTTAGCATGTGTAAATAAGAAACAAGCGTGAAATAAATAGCAATAAACTATTGACCTGTAGATTGTGAGTAGCTTCATGAAGTGCTGGGGTTGGTGGTGTGTATGGAGAGTTTACGGTGTGTTGAGGGTGGTTAGGTTGCTGGTGGAATGATCGGTTGTGGTTATGGTTGAGAGTGTTCCTGTGGTTGTTGGTCATGGGCTGTCACTCGCATAGTTATGGGGGCTGCGTTGTTGTAGGGCGAGTCTTGGAGTTGTTCAATCCGACAGCGGGTTCTTTACCGTTCAACACCGTGACTTTACTGCCTTAAACGATACATATCCAACATGCATTCTTGGGTTCGTTAACGGCGGCCAAGAGAGGCGAGAGCATACGAGAGCTCGAACACGACGCTTGTTCTGGATAAGAGAAGTTGCTACGCTAGCGACTGATAACACTAGTAGCAGGGTAGTTCTGGGGCAGTGCGGTATTGTCATAGCTTGAGGGCTGCATACAATTAATGAATTAAACCAAAAAAAACTAAAAAAAAAACTGACAACACTAGTATGGGCGGAAGTTGGGTCTCTCCAGAAAGTAGCCTTGATTGCATATTGTATCGTGCTATCGACGGGTATAATTATAGCGAAAGCTTGCCATCAGGCCATCTCTCCACAAGAGCACCCCCCTTCACCCTGGGTTTCCACAACTGGCACTAGTGTCTCTGTAATCTCCCTATCCTATGGTTCCTTTTCCGCGGGGGGCCAGAAGCCACAGCAAAGGTCTGAGCGAGTGTTTGATTTAGATCCAATGTTAGTGCTAGCCACTCTTTCGCCCCCCCCCTCCCCCCCGGGGCCCTTTTCCCAACCCCAAAAAGGATCGATGGGCTATGGGATAAGGGTGCTAAGGTCCGGTTCTTGAGCGTGCATTTGTAATAAGCTTTCGTTGGATGTACCTATGTGTTGATATTGAAGCGGCGCTTGTACTGTATTAGAGCCCTATATGGGGGGCGGGAAATGTTGACAGTGCGCTGTTCCTGAGCTCAGGCAAATATGATGCACTCGGCATCATTGGCCTTGGAGAGCCCACTCGCTTGTTTTTTAGGCCAGAGGGCCTTGTATTTGCGATTGCACTTTCGGCGACATATTCACGGCCTGTCACTCGTCGAGCTGCGTAGTAAGCTGGCGTCGGTGAAGTATGGCGGGGGGAGTTGAAAAATGAGCTGGGTGGATAGGGCCTTTTATGCTGGTTGCGTGTATGTCTGTGGGATGAGGGCGGTGCTGATCATTGACATGTGCCCGAGGTACAGTCTCTTCTGGTTGTGAGCAAACGCGCGGGACTGGAAAGGCCGCATCCTTCTGCGATGTTTATATTAGGGGTATGGGGGGGGGGGGGGGGGTGGCTGGTGAGGTGGTGTTGGGAGAGGCTCTTGCTGTCTTTACAACAGGAGCAGATCACCGTATGCATATTGCTAAATTGAAGAGCTTTAGTAGGAGACTGATTTGTGAGCCATTGCAATTGTAGAGGTAAGTGAGATGGGTATATTACGTTCAAAAGTGCTCCGACATTAGGCAAGTGGCAGATATCGCATTGAAGATGCGGTAGGAATGTAGGGAGCTACTATGGTCGTTGGGAGAATTGTAGTATTGAGGGATGGTATACCACACGTACCCATATCATTTATCTTATCTACTGTACATATCAAATGGTACGACATGGCGCAGGGCCCCTCATGTTATATCACTCGAATGCCAAGAGCGAAGCGCCGTGCTACCCAAGTAAGTAGCCGTCAACTGTTCTATGTTATTTCAAGCTTAGTAGAAGCACAGCATATCAACGCACCCTGTTCAAAGAAACGTCATTTTGAAAATCTAGATTTTTCGTGAATCCCTTTGCTCGCCCTTGACCCAGGCCCTGACCCCACTAGCCTGGTGATGTGCGTTATTTCTCCAGAGCGAGTGACAACAAATGAACTGTTGGGGTGGTGGTGTTTGCTTAGGTCACCAAAAATAGCCGAAGAGGTCGTTAGTTAGCTAGCTCGTACAAGTGGCCGCGCGGAGTGTGAGCTTTTTTGGGTTCTAGCGCCATCATCAATAACCTGGCAAAGGGTCGAAGTCTGCTAGAAGGGGCAGTTATTAATCACCACAACAGCATGAGTGAGTTTGATGCTTGAGTCCAATATTTCTACCAGACCTACATGGAATGGAGTCTACTCTACACTGGACACAGGTAGAATAGAGTACCTACATTTTAAGTGCCCATGAGGTCGTCGACAGGGAAAGCACACCTGCGTTGAACAGCGTGGGCGCTGGCTAGGTACAGGACTGGTTAATCGCTGGCTGGTTCGCTGGCTACTTTTTTTTTTGACACCCCCCCCAACAGTGAATGGGAATCGCACGTTGGTCTTTGACCAGATAGCACCATGACCCGCTTCTATGCGCCAGCCGGGTAACGTAGTAGACCTTTGTGACCCTCTGGTTCACTATCAGCCACAACTTGCGTCCCCCTTCACCTTTGCCCGGGTCCGAAAGTTTCCACGGTTTCCTTCTTCCTGCCATCACAGAGACAACCCAAAGACCAAAGACACGACGTGCAACCTCACAACTCAGAGACCCACCGTCTACTGTCACTCACAACCCACCTCTCCACAACAACCCCTACCATCAAATAGACTTTCACCCATCATCTAAAGCTATACCTTACAAACACTGACCTTCCCTTATCCTTCCTCTCCTACTACTCCCTCCTCACTCACCTTTGCTCCGTTTCCCTCTTACACCTTTCACCGTTATTACTACCGAAATCATAAACTATGGCTGGCTCTAGAAACTATGACTTCCTGGTAAGCTTCCCATATTCCCTCAACAACCTCCACCTCCACCTCCACCTCCACCCCCCCCCCCTTCTTCCCCCTCTCACACACGCACCCCCTCTTCGTCTTGGTATCAAAAGACTTGAAGTGGTCGTCTGACATGGGTATCTCTCACGTATAGATAAAGCTCCTCTTGATCGGCGACTCAGGCGTCGGCAAATCGTGCTGTCTCTTGAGATTCAGCGAGGACTCATTCACCCCGAGTTTCATCACTACCATCGGTATTGACTTCAAGATCCGAACGATCGAGCTAGACGGAAAGAGAGTCAAGCTGCAAATCTGGGATACTGCTGGTATGTGTATGGTCCGACCGGTCCCCTTACTTTTGTTTCCCGTTACCTAGTTGTTTGGCGCATGTTACAGGGGTGTTTCACGGGCTGTTGCTGACGTGGGGTCTTACCCTAATCTACAGGCCAGGAACGATTCCGGACAATCACTACGGCTTACTATCGTGGGGCTATGGGGATCTTGCTAGTCTATGACGTTACCGACGAGAGATCTTTTGATAGTTTGTTCCCTTATCCAAACACTCTTTGTGATGTTCTATATCGCATTGTATCCTTAACTAACCTTTCGCAAAGACATTCGAACTTGGTTTTCAAACGTCGAGCAGCACGCGACCGAAGGCGTCAACAAGATCCTCATTGGCAACAAATGTGACTGGGAAGAGAAGCGTGTGGTTTCTACCGAGCGCGGCCAGCAATTAGCCGACGAGCTCGGAATACCATTCATGGAAGTGTCGGCAAAAAGCAACATCAACGTCGAGAAGGCTTTCTTCGAGCTAGCTGCCGATATCAAAAAGCGCATCATGGACACTACACGCGCGGAAGAGAGGGCGGGTGGTGCGGGTAATACCGTAGATCCAGGGAGGGAGAACAGCGGCGGAATGGGCGGAAAGTGCTGTTAAAATAAGTTAACACAAAGCGCAAACTATTTTCGGGGTCAAATTGTACTTTCAACGTCGAAGGAAGTAGACTAAATACACCCGAAGGCTGGATCGATCGATTGGACTGCGTAGAGGTTATGGAGAAGATCGAGCGTTCCTCACGGGGGGTTTTCGTCTCTTTTACGTTGTGTCTTTGTGTTTGAGTCTGGTCGGTCTTGTTTTTTTGCGTTGGTTACACTGGTTTTTTTTTTAAAGGAAATTCTCGTTTCTTCGTAATGGGGAGGGATAGGGGTGAAATGTTTACCCTTTCCTTCTCTTAGTCTCTCCCTTACTACAGCTGTCATTACCCTATCTTTCAAGATCTCCTCAGTGTATGCATCTGTACTATGTTTTCCTGCCACTACCTTTGCGTTTTTACCGTGGGGGTTAGAGTGCTTTGTTCTTGTTACGTGTGTCTTGTGTTTCTTTTTCTTTCTTGTTGTACGTTATAGTTATGCTTTATGTGTTTCCTTTTCTTCTTATATGATGTGTCTGGGGGATTTGATATAGGTATATATATCCTTCTAATCGACGTTTTATGACTACCATGTCAGTTTTACGAGGTTTGGAGATGTATTAGAAGCTACACGAATGCAATGTTATTGATGCTGGTCCATGTACTGATAGCCTGCTTATCTCGGCGCTGCTGTAGCTGTATGATTACATGATGTCGGAATCCTTGTGTCGATTGTTTTATGCCGCCCGTCAGCTGTTTCTGGCGGCATGTCACGAGAGTCACACATGCGTGGGGCATGCACAATAGAAATACACCATCCACAGATACCTTTTTTTGGCACCGCGTTCTCCATATAGATATATTTCAATTCCCAAATCATAAACTAACAAAACACAAAATGTAAGACCATCACAGTCAAATCCCAACCACTATTCTGGCAAATGGGACTCCGGCTTAATAGCGATCTTCCATAGAGAAACGAGGGGACTAATCCTCGTCTCCCGGGACCCCCCAGAGGGAGCCAATTGTTCTGTGCCTGACCGGGTACCGAGTTATTATAGTAGGGAATAACACAGTTACAGTCTCTTCCTGACGGAGAGACTGTTGGTAAGGCAATGGGACTTGCTGCTTTTCTTTGGGACCTACCCTCCCGTTACTGGCAGGGGAGATCAAAGTAGACCAGCAAGTGAGCGTAAAATTGGGAATGGAGGAGTTGTAAGGTTGTAATTGGGTTATTGGAATTGGAGATAGTTGTGTATATGTTCAAGAGCTGAAATCCTGAAATGCTGAGTTTGGCGCTGCTGTTGTCGTTGGTGAACCACAAGGAAGAAGGAAAAAAACCGTTGATAAACAAAAAAACATTAGTGTCACCAGGGTTCAGGGCACAGGGCACCCGATCTGCAGCACCCAACGTCATACAGACCGTTGAGCCGCAACCCTTGAAATTTCACACCCTTGAGCAGGATCCCAGGGCTCTAAAAGCAAAGAAACAAAGAAAAAGATAAATGGCACTTCTCTACCGGCGTCTTTGTTCCAGCCAGATCTCCAGGCCTTTATTCGCTGCAAGGGGAATAAGAAGCATTAATATGTCTTCAACGCCCGTGGAACCGCTGTGGTCAGCTGGGGTTGAGGAGGGCCAGAAGGAGGAAGCTATGAAGCTTCTGAGAGATGGAAGGTGGGCGTTGAGCGCGACGCGGATGGGCCTCGAAAGGAAGTTTGAGTTCAAGACGTTCAAAACTACCATGGTTTGTGCTTTTCTTGAGATGATTGTTCTTAGTAGATTCTGGGTATGACAGGGCTAGTTAACATGGGGGTGTGGTACGGTGTAGGTATTCATCAACCAAGTTGCGGACCAGTGTAAAGTTGCGCGACATCATCCTGAATGGGCGAACGTGCGTACTTAGGCTCTTTTTCCCTTTATTGCGTAACATTGTTGGCAAAAAGCAGTATATATATTCTTCCGGGGAACATGGCACTGATCCCCCCCCCCTCGTTATGGGGTTTAAACAGGTCTACAATAAAGTAGTGATTCGCTGGACCACACACAACCCACTAGGCCTCTCGCAGAAGGATATTGAGATGGCCAAGTTCTGTGATGAGAGGGGAGCAGAACTTGGAGATGTTGACACGGGAAAAGTGGAACGGGCCCCCGCAGACGAAACGGGAGGTAACGTTCTGGATAACCTTTTGGGTCAGGGAGTGCAGGAGTGTGGACCATGCGCGGAAAAGTCGAAGAAATAGGGGACTGCAATAAGATGCCAGAAATAGTAGCCGCGGGTGTGTAAGATGAATTGTTTTTTCCCTAGTACGTTACAGTACGTACATGGGCTTGATTTGTGTAGGTACTCGATTGTAACAGAGAGAGAGTAAAGAAAATAGAGTATGGTGGTTGCTCTCACTCATTCGCATAGAGATGCTCATCGTATGTCGGATCCCAACTGATAAGACAAGAAAAGGTACATAGTGACAACTTAGTGACAACTTGATTGACCAACAAATTGAAAGCCTGACTGATGGGCTGCAGGGGACTGGCTCCTTAACACGTGACCTCAAAATGCGTAATGACACACGTGCGGATTGCCGCCGTGGCCTTCTCTCAACCTTCTCGTCTTGACAGGTTCAGCGCGCAACCCCCAGACTTCACCGCCACATTCTCTTTTTTTTTCCCTTTTGTTGTATTTATTGAACTCATCTCTCTTCTCAGCAGGCCCTGGTAGCTTCCATCTGCCAAAGGTCGTGCTAGTCTTGTCCACCAAATACTTCATCCCCCCTTCTCATCGCTGGTAGAAAGAGATACACACACACACGCAAAATGGTTTCCTTCTGGCCCTTCAAAGTAAGTTGATATGCCTATCCTATCCCAACCCATCCCACCTCCTATGGTTCCCTGTGTTTTGTCCTACTGGACGCCCCCCCATTGATGCAGGAAAGCTAACGGGAAGCAATATGACAGGGCGACGATAACTCACCAGACTCCTTCGAGCGCATTCTTTCAAAGCTCGCATCGCAGATCCAAGCAGAGACTTCGAAACTTGCTCTCCTTCGTCTACAGCTCCGCCGTTACAAGGGGTTGTGGACTATCTACACCTCATTTGCCTACATCTTCTACGTACTCGTCATATTCCTTGTCGTAGGATGGAAGGAAGTGGGTCCCCCACAGATAGCGGGCTTGGTCGGTGGACCTATTGGGTATGATTCCTCTGCACTATAACTTTCGAGGCCCATATGCTGATGGCTTTTGTTTCGCGAACAGAATCTGGGGCGTAAGGAGTTTGTTGGTGCTCTACTACAACGGCAGGATCTCAACCACTGAGACGAAACTGGAGGATCTACAGACCAAACAAAGGGATACCGTCGAAAAGTTAAAGGCAGCCACAAAGTTCTCAACCACACAATCTATCATTGAAAAATATGGTGGTGGGCCCATCTCACCCTCAATCTCAGAGATTGAGAGGAACAAGATGCAACATGCACAGCAGCAAGGCCCGCCCGGACATCCGAATAACAATCAACAGCTTAGACAGCGTCCCCAGGGACAACCTAGTGGAGCATCCGGCTCGGTTCCACCTTCACCCCAGCAAATACAGCAACAATTTGTTCAACAGCAGCTACAGCAGCAACAACAAGAACGAGGGCAACAGCATCTGGCTCCTCCTTCCGGAGTTAATAATCCAAACCCAGTCAAAAAATTCAACCGGCCATCACCCATCCCCGTTCTCAGCTTCCCACAAACTACGGTACAGACGCCAGCTCGTCAAATCGCACCGGAGGAGATACATTCTCCACGTTGGTATGACCGCGTCCTCGACGTTCTCGTAGGAGAAGACGAGACTAGCGCGAAGAATCGCTTCGCGCTGATCTGCAAGAACTGCAGGATGGTCAATGGACTAGCACCTCCTGGAACAAAAAGCTTGGAAGACGTGGAGGGGTGGGGATGTGCTAGATGTGGGATGATGAACGGAAAGCCGCCAAGCCGTCCTTTAAGTAGGAAAGGGGACGAAGAAGAAATGGACATGATCCATGGTCTCGGGGTTAGGGGGTCGAGGATTAGCAAGTCATCGAGCCCTACACCCAGCGAGAGCGTTAGTGTCAGATCAACCAGAAGCAGAACAAAGAAGGCGTCACCAGAGCCGGAGCCGGAGCCCGAACTCGATTTGTCTGAGGAAGATAGCTCAGCAGCGGCCGGGAGCGATCAAGTAGAAGATGAGGAGGCTGAAGAGGTTGAAGAAGCCCCAAAGCCAAAAGGCAGAGTAACTAGAGGTAGCAAGAAGGCTTGAGAGCTCTTTATTTTTTCTTAATATATAGATTTTGTGTTTTTCCCGGTTTGCGAGGTGCGGGGATACTGGAGGGTAATACTTTATTGTTTCTCTTTTGTTCGGTCGGGATTGGAGCTGGGGTTGGTCTGGAGGAGTAAAAGATGAGCTTGTTGAATTTGTTGAGTGATTGGGATTATTTTTTTGCCCGGATCTGTGTCTGGTATCAGGCGGGCTTTTCTCTGTTTCCTTTCTTCTTAAAAGTGTACTAGTGACGGGCGGTTCAATGGTTCAATTTGGTATGGTTGTTATCTTTCTTGCTTGTATTATTCTAGCTCATGGATGAGATATCATATAAAAAAAAATTCCTAGATCCTTTTGTTTGATATGATTGCCAATATTATATATTTTAGTTTGCATCACAGCTTCACACTCGGGGAAGCGGGAAAACTCGGTGTCTACCAACCAATCACAGTGGCCGCTGACTAAACACCACTACCCGAATCGTGGAACATTTGCACAACCTTCCCGGGTAACAAGCCATCAACCCCCACCAAACAATTCACAAACACCAACCTCCATCCGCAAACTGTACATTCCGCTTCGAAATCACACGATGCCTGTACGTATTCCTGCCAACTCCCTTCTTTAACGCTCCGACGGGGCAGAAATTGCACCCTTGGTCGGGATTTTACCGGCCGGGGGTAGAATTTGGTTTTGCGATCCGGGACTGACAGCTGGGGGACAGATCTCATCCACCATCTACAACGCCCTCTTCCGACGAAACTACGTCTTTGTCGGAAGCGTTTTCGTCGGCGCTTTCGCTTTCGAGATGTAAGCTCTCCGACTCCTCCGTTTTTCGCCTCTGTCTGCCATGCCTGCGTTCTGCCTATGTGGGCGTTAGCTGAACGACTGCCCCACCCGCTGTTCTGTGATATCCGCCCAGGGTGAAGAAACGACACAGGCGGATAGGACCTTGGGGAGATCTTTACTGACATACTCTCGCTCTATAGTCTCTTCGACCAGGCCACCGACAAATTGTGGGACAACATCAATAAGGGTAGACAATGGAAGGACATCCGACACCGCTATGTTGAGGAAGAATAGGCGATGTATCGCTTAGACATGGGGCCTGTAGATTTGGTGCTGGAGTGAAAGGAGCAAAAGAGATTTCTTTTTGTTTGTCGATTTAGAATCGGGTTTGGTTTGGGGTAGCTCTCCTAGTGCATGAGCGGTGATTCAATTCATACCAGTTTTTCCCCGTTCCTGCTTTTCTATAATTGACCATGCTTTGCGATAAGTATGACATCCTAGGTGTGATTACGTTGGTGTTTGAGATGTGGTTTTGATATTGGATGCCCCCATTCATACTCAGATAGATTATCCTGGCCCTTTAACAGCTCTTATGTTCACCCATATTTTATCACAGCAACCCTAGGAGGCAGGAGGCCAAAATGGCCCCCCCAAAATTGAAGACTTCCGGTTTTTGGTTGACTAATTCCGTGGGTTATGTCAATATTCAGACTTCGAATTTGTATTGGCTATTTGTTTCCCCGCCCATATTGGATACAATACTGATACATAGGAGGTCCACTTACTATGATATTGAATTTAAAATGGTATCTCTCATTTCTTCTAGTTTAGATATTACAAAAAGTAGTAGGCGTCTAAGGTACCTCCCCACAGTGAATACGTTCAACCCAACAAATTTGTCCACGGCCTATTTGTCGTCTAGATGGAGGCATAAATCATAGCCACCTCTGGCGCTCCTATGGAAAACAATTGGAAATTAACCATCAGAGCCACTAAGCTTCAGCCTACCCTTCTAGCCCCGTTTCCGTTTCCAAGATTATGGATGAATGCCTAGAGTTATGGGACATCACCAGCATTACATTTCTGTGGAATTATTTTAGATCGTCACCATTGGTCTGTTTGGAAATGACATTATGTCATTTAACAATTTTAATCACAAGCTATCACTCGCCTGAGAATTTGCTCCTGGGCCAATTCCTGTATGGTTTTACATTTATATGAGGATATAATCCCGCTAGGTGACGATATTTAAGGCCTATATATAAAGAATCCCTAGGACCGAGGGCTCATATCAAACAAATACTTCCCGATCTGAGGGTCTTGACTGCTCTCCTTCGCCTATATATGGAAGCCAGGGGTCGAGAGATACCACGTATTTTGCTAGCATAGTCCTTGTATGAGGTCCAGAATACAGAAGAAGTTTCCCGGTATTCTTGCTAAGGTAGAGCAAAACTCCTAAAGCTGACCCAAATCGACTTAGACGAGTTTAAATGGGTTATTCTGTATGCAAACTCGAGCCATCGTGACTCTCATCACCACCACAAGCCATTGCATTGTTACAGCTGCAGCAAGGATTTTACTCATCTTGACTCAGGATATAAGAGAAATTGGGACTTATGTATGCTTGTACGCCGCGTATCCTCCGAACCCCCATGACAAACACACGCGTTACGTTCGAGAATTTCCATGGTTAGGGGTGTTGCATGTGGTCAAAATGAGTACTACAGCGTACATACCCCATAGCCATATGATAGTCCGCGAGACCGCTCGAGACGAGTAAAAGCGGGGGCCTTGTAATTGAGACGCCTCCTCCTTGTGAGAGTACAATATTTCGAGCTTCTCCGGGAATGGGAGGGGGGAGGCTGGTGTGATGATCGGGATAACTGTATCCTATCTATAGTTATACTGTAGCTAGAACTATCGGTCCTAGGCCTGGAATGATATCCTCAACTTGGGCTGTGAATAGAGCGAAAGCTCTACAAGGAATCGAAACCTTGCAAAGACTATGGTTTTGTTAGATCTAGATCTTAAACAGCGTAAAATTCCAACACTGTACGCTAAATTATATAAAGTTCTAGAAAGCAGGATTTAATGAACATATACGTATACCAAAAAGTTATATAAAAATAACCTAGCTTAAAAAATCTCTAGATCTTCCCTTGAAATGTAGCGATGACACGTGTGCGTTTTGTTGCATCGGGATTACACTAATATTACTTTTGTACGTACCCACACTAGGTTTTCATAATGAAGATTTTCCAGTTATTCAAATAAGTACTAGTCCTTGAGTTTACTCTTTTTGACTATATACCGGCTGTTGTTAGCGAGTACTAAAAAATTCGATGATCCCCCTCACTACATTTTATCTGCGCTGTCACATGACACGGTCGAGTGTTAACATATGTATGGATAGTTGCATGACCTAGTTGTGTTCTTTACGCGCTTGGGGCGCTTCCACCAATTGCGCAAGGGTATATAACTCTAACTAATAGAGAACGAATGACTGGACCCATAAACCTCTGTCCCGCGAATCACAAAGTAAAACCCCGCTCTTTGTCCCTTACTCCGTTACTTTGATCCGCGAAAGGTTAGCTAGCAATTCTTACGATACTACCGTCAAATCTCATGGGCATCATCAAGAGCTCATTGCATCCTGGCGATATAGTTACAGCAATAGCGGCATTTGAGACTGTTGGCCTCGACTCGAGACTCACATAATAACGCCATAGTAAGTGACTAAGCGAGCAAGAGGAGATTTCCATAACAACTGTTCTTCAATTAAAGTTCTCAGCTTACCATACATGAAGCTTCAGACTGGTTCCTAAACATTCTACCTCCATCGCTGAATGGTCAAGATATATAGTATCTATGGCGGATTACAGATCAATGGTGCTCCCTTTAACAACCTGTTGCCACAAATTACAGGGAGAACCAGCCCCGCTATCAATAAAACCAAACAGCACTTGCAACTCGCCACCTTAGCATGCGACAAACATGCTCTTCCAATTATCATCCGCCATACAATGGTTGGTTTCGTATATGGTATACCCGCTCGTTAATTAAAAGGTCGGAAGTCGTTGCAACCAAATCCCCACACACAATTCCGATCTTTTAATTAACGCGCAAGTATATAACGTTTTTGACCGAGTACCATGTCAGACCTAGAATCGTGTCGTATGGCAACAGCACCAAAATCTTACCTTAAATTTTGGAGGCGAAAAGGCTCGGCAATAAAAACGACCAAATTTGTATGGTGATGACCTGGTTCCCAGTCTGACACGGTACCAGGTCAAAAACGTTATTAGTCTGCACACAAGACGATGTCCCCCCAAACGGAAAATTCGAATAAAACTCTGGCCAATGGCCAAGTGAAGTTTGGAGCAACTATGTTTCTAATACGGAGTCGAAGGACTTTCTTTACAAAGATTATTATAAAAGGAGCTCGAGATGATACTCAGGCGTTCAGTAAAAGTCGTGAAAACAGGCGTTGTAATGGGGCGGTTTTCACCACATTTTACTAAACGCCTAAGTGGTATTTGGTCGAAACTCACAGCTGGACCGCCCTTTCACTTTGGGAAAGGGAAGGTGGAAACCATCCTTTGCTCTGATCTGTCGCCCTGTTCCTAGATTGGGAGAAATCTTAGAGGGAGATGAGGTGATCTTTATTGGGCATATCTTGGGTCACAACATCTATTAATAGTAGTCCAAGGGATGGTCTTGTCCCAGGAGATACTATCAAGAGCCATCATCCTGATTTCGAGCGCTGTGCGAATTTCAATCTTTCATCTTAATTCAATACTAAATAATATTAATGTCGAGTAACATTTTCATTGGGCGTACGTAATACAAACCTACATGTATCTATGCTACATGCACTGTGGTTTTGCGCTTAGCTATAGGTATGAAACAAATCTTCACATAACTAATTACAATGGTACCAGACACATTTTAATTCATCTAGGGCTAATCTCAGTCTTCTGCTTAGGTCTATCAAATTTCTACATCATTATACAGACGCAGGGCTAGAGGGGAAAACGAAGATTCACGGCAAAAAGTTTGAAAATGAGGACCGAAAATAACTTCTTGGTGTGAATTCAGGGACGGGAACTTTTTCGAGGTTGAGATGAAATAAATAATTCTAGGCGTATGTGTTTTGTCGAGAATCCTTGTTTGTATTTTTCCTGTCTGGACGAAAACGGGTAAAGTGCCGCGAAAGATCGAGTGAGATCGTATGAAGCGGAGGAACACAAACAAACTGTTCCTAAAGGGTTAGCTTTATCACCTGAATCTTTGTAAGTTGATCGTGAGTTTGACACCGAATATCTCCCCGTCAGTCTCAAAGTCAATAACAAAGCTGTAGTTGAGAAAAGGGAGTTCTTGGCCAATAGGTGATCAGCGAGTATGCGACGGACGAGACGAGACGGCGGATCCTACATTAGCACATCGATACACATCATGTCGAGTTGAAGGTTTCTTACTCCGTTGTGGATTGCTCTGTACTAGTACTGCAGTAAGGGAGGGGTGAAAGAGGAGAGGGGAAACGGGGGGGAGGGAGGGGAGGGATTGAGGGGGGTCAACTCAAGTTCTGCCAAAGCCGGCCTCACAAGCGAGGCAAAGAGGCCATATTCTCCGACGAAGCCTGAAAACTTTCTCCGTGACCGAACATATGCACAGTAGACCCAGTTCTCCCTTTACACGTTGCTCTTCCAAGTACTGTTCTTCGATCCGTGGCTCTTGCCAGCTATTGATGAGTGTCGTAGGCGTTGTGGACGCCATGGCTCTCTAGCCGGTGTGTATTCTGAAGTAAGTTTGATCGTCCGGCAGGAGGGATGGCTTCGGGGAGTTTGGCGGATGTTTAGTGTAGCTCATGTGAAGAAGTTACCGACAAAGTTCTCCTGAAAGGGGCGCGTTTTTTCTCACCAGGAGGCAGCCCAAGGACTACGTGGAAGGAGAGCAGTGTTATTGTCAGTACGAATACCAGAAACAGCTCTAGCTTACCATGATTCCAGCAATATGCAGTCGGCGAAAATTGAGGAATAGCTGGTATCCTCGTACCCACGCCGTGTTCACATGGCTTGAACCGCGTGTGTTGGCCGGTGGTCGGACGGGTTGATTCCCGGAGCCACCCATAGCAACAGGAAAGGAGAATCATAATCATGGGAGGAGATATGTGGCTATCTATGAATGTATGATCCCCATTCTCGATCTACTTACATTGGAGCTATCTTAGCCTGGAAAAAAAGGGCCAATGATTATTGCTGCATCTTCATTTTAGGCCCATATCTCATGCTTCG